ACAATAGTAGTAGCAGTAGTATTACAATCAACTAGAACAAAGGTGGTGATAACTAAATGTTTTAATACAACATTACAGAATAACTTGATAAAATCTGAGAATCATACAGTAATACTTCATTTACGAAATATCCATCAAATGTTTCAGACTTCGTTGTTCCTTCGTTTCCATACCAATCACTCTTTGTCCTCGTTCTCCCCTCGATTTTCTCAACCTTCTCCATCCAGGCATTTTACTTTCTTTTGGTGACACATATGACTTATATCTGTCGACATCAGTAGCACACACCACATAATTGTATTTATTCTGAAAACGTTCATATAATGTTCAACAATGTGCAAATACAGTCTAGTCGAGGTAACATTTAAAAAATAAGACCACATTATTCAAACAGTTGGAAAGCTTTGGCTAAAATGTTAATAATTTGAAGCATAATATAAATGTTACATCTCATGAAAATTGACATTTCAGAGTACAGGATTATTGTCTAAATGCACACCACAGTTATCATGAATTTTGTAAAGAGCAGATATTACTATTATAAAGTAATGTATAAATAATCACATACATCAGGAATGTGATATAACTTCAACATTATCTTCATTTTAGGATAGTACATTTCATATGTTTGGTATAGAAGATACAATAAACAGGTGAAGTGAGAATTTAATTTATACAGCTTTATGTTTATTTAGTTTGAGATCATGAATCGATCAGTGCTAAACCACCAATAGAAACCTGGAAGTATTGAACAGCCGTTCCGTTCTAGTATAGGACTACTCAGCAGTGTGCATCCACGACCTCTCACGCGAGATTCGAACCCAGGACCGTTGGTCTCGCGCGCGAACGCTTGACCTCTAAAGGCAATATCTAACGTTATTAATATCTCATTTCAAATAATCCGTGAAATTACGCGACCATCTTCGATTATCTGAAGTAGATACCTGTCTCTACCTGATATGGTGGTGGTGTAATTCTGAAAGCCCATTTTATTTCATAATGTTCTAATCTTATTACGATTCTGTATAAAGTTCCTATAGTCTTTGAATGCTTACATGATTTAGAAAAATTGGAACAAACAACTAGATTTTTGGCCTCGTTTGTTTCAACTGGTACTCTTATACAAGATGTATTTATATGTTGAGGGATTCAAATCCATGTTATGAAGTATTACATAGAAATACATTTTTGTAGACCTATTTGGGCTGTGAACAACTTCTTGTTGACATTTATACGAATAAATATTCAATGTCGTATAATGAAGATCAAATTCTATCAGTTGGACTTTACTTCGTCTACTAGTCTAAATGTGGGGAAGCTAAAAAGAAAACAAAAATGCAAACAATATATTGACAACATTTAAACTTCTTTACATCAGCACTAAAAACTTGATAGTTGTTACTATGGTTACCATTCCATCTTTAATAAACACTATTAGTATTTGATAGTTTACTGAAATCGACCATAATCCTGCTAAGGTCGATGAAACGTTAAATAATTTGAAAAAGAAACCTGACCTATCACTATAATCAGTAGTATCTGCTTAGTAGAATCTATAATCCATAGCTAAAGGTATTTCAACAACTTTCTTTTATATTAAATATATTTCATAAAAAATACATTGTTGTATAAAAAGATTAAGTGTTTCTAATTGGGTTAGGTCATAGAAGTTTTTCTTTTGTCGCACAATTTAGGTTCTAGTTATGATACTGTTAAGATTTGTATTTTCCTTTGCCTGAATAACTCTGATGTAAGTGTGTCTCGTTCTGTTTGATGAAATAACGTTAGTTAGTTGTTTGTGATCTGAACTGATCATTCGACAATGATGACAATCGCAAAATATTGACATGATCAACATTGAAAAATAGGAACATAAGCTGACTAATTAGGTTAAAATTTGTGAATAATTGTAATTTTCATTTGTATAGAAAACATTTAACTGATACATTTCATTCGTGTTATTAATTAGAGATGAAATTAAAGATTCTAAAGCCAAACTAGCGGTTCCTCTTCATCAACTGTCTTAATACTAAACTAGGATAAATAACATGAATCAATTGAAGCTAGACCACCATGGAAAACCTGGAAGCATTGGACAGCCGTTTCGTCCTAGTACGGGACTCCTCAGCAGTGCGCATCCACGAACCCACCCCCACGAGATTCGAACCCAGGACCTACTGGCTTCGCGCGCGAGCACGAAATGGCCGTTCAGTGCTTCCAGGTTTTCCATGGTGGTCTAGCTTCAATTGACTCATGATTTTAACCTGTGAAATTTCCTAAAATCTCCACAAAACTCATTCTGAAAATAACATTAAAGCACAAAAGATTAAGCTTAAATGAATCGGTAAAATGGTGTATATAGCTCAACAAGAATTTTTTCGATTATTGACAGAAACGAAGTATGTGTGCTTCTCGTGGGTAGTATGAGTCTTTTGCAGCTACAAATAAAACTTATTGTTTATTATGAACAGAGATTCGGTATAGAGCTTACAAAAATTCTCATTCATCATCTAATGAATCTGTAACATGTTGAGGGTACTTTTTCAATCCAAAATATTTGATCGAACTGTTTTTATGCAAAGCCACAAGTACAACATCGGGAAAATAACTAAAAAAAATCATATTGTCATTACTCAGTAATTAATCAATAACAGATTTTTTGGGCATGCTTGAGGTCATTTTCATCTCAAGTAAATCAATGACAATTTATCAGAATTCGAGTGTGCTTAGAATCCACAGTGGAGTATCAGTCCCGTGGCTAGTGGGTAGCAACTAGCGGGAAACGTATGTCTAAGGTTTTCTGTCGATTACCTTTAAACAACTAACACCTCAAAAATGAGTCCATAAAACGATATCTTAATATATACTATAACACCGTTGGATACCGGCTCAGTGATCTAGAAGATAAGCATTCACGCGCGAGACCGAAGGTCTCGGATTCGAGTCCTGCTTACGGGATCGTGGATGCGCACTGCTGAACAGTTCCATACTGGAACGGAACGACCGTTCAGTGCTTCCACATCTATCATTGATTGATTTATAATCTCATTCAATAAATATTATAGTTGTGTTTCGTTCATTTCAAAAAAAAATTTTATATGCTTATTTTAACGTAAACCAACTGTCATATAGAATTCATGTTCATACAAATCAGTTCTGTATACTCTTGGATTGATATAAAGTGAAATTACAGAAATGAACATGGACATGTAAATTTATTGTTTATTTTTCGAAAAATGTCATATTAGCAAAATCGTTCAATGAAAACATTAACACAAATTTATTTGTTAATGCCATTTCTAAATAGGAAAAGAAATTAGATGGTATTTAATATTTTCATACAATATGATAGTGTCTTGCATTCCCCCCCCCTACAGAAACATTAGTATTATGTAATCTAATTGCTGAACATGCTGGGGAACTACAGTATATTTAAAAGACATTTTTCACTATGAACAGAAATTAGCGTAACTGCTTCAATGAATTTGTTCCTGAAGTGAATGCTTTTGATAGTGTTGCTAATTGGGCATCTTTTAGTTCATAACACAATCGATCACTGTTTAGTCAAATATAGTATTGTTTGGTGTAAGATGTTTTGAGCTTCCCTTAAATCGATCTCTGTTAGGATATGAGACCCTTTAGCAGACGATTCAACATAGGATGTGCTTTCAATTTACTACCAAGTGATTATGTTAATGGATAACGGATTCTTTTTTGAAGCAATGAGTACTGAGTTTGGATCTGTATATGTACGTCAACATTGAGACGCAGATGAAAGAAACAAACGAGTCTTAAACAGAACAGAACGCACTTACTAGATCCTAGTGTTAGCCGCAGTCCAAAAATATAGTTTAACCATTTATTAGGATTCCATGAAGAGGATTTTGTGGATATTTACTATTTTGTATGTGACATTATAGGAATTTGGATAGTTATAGTTGTTCTAAAGCATATCCCAGTATTGATTTAGGTATTACAGACTTTTATACAATCATTAGAAGATGTAACTTCTATATTTCCTTCGACTTGCCTAACACAATAACGTATGGTATATAATCAGTTAATCTAACTAGGTAGATTGTAGCTACTCAGGGTCTATAGTAAAATTAGTTATCCTACAAAGCTAAGTGATCTTATCGCAGCTTAGATTGGAAATTCTCACAACATATTGATTCCTTACATAATTTTAAACTTCTGGTCTGATGCACTTACTGCTCTACTGACTGCTAACAATTAACAAACAGTTGCATGGAACAAGTCCTTGCTTAAGAGGTTATATCTAGTGAATACATAGTACTTATTACTAATGTGCACTGATAGATAGTCAGACAGTAAACATGTAGGCGGACACTTTAATCAGATAAATAATGAACTTACTCATTATAGGTTTCCACCCACACTAACAACTGGTTTACCATGAATATTGTGTCACCAATATGAATTACAGTAATAAATCATACGGTTTAAAAGTTCTACTGATTTTTAAAAAAATATTGCCATAATAGTAAAGGGAAATTTCAAATCTCATCTTGAAAAAATTCAAAAATGTATTTAACCTAAACACTACTGGTGTGGTGTCAGCTACTTATATCCACATAAGTAGAATATAACGATAGTCAGGAATAAAATATATTCCAGTAGACGATCGAGATGGAAACAACGGGAATAGAAAGCAATCGATATGAAAATGCACAAACAGTGAAAAATGAGACAATCGATTGAGATTTTCAAAAGGAACAGTCAAGTTTGAGACACTATATGGTTCTCAGATTTTGGTGAGATATTTTGTCATTTCGTGCTCAAATACATTCGATTGATCTCTACTCGTGTTCTTGTTCACTACACTAGGAGTAAAGTCAAGTCGACTTTTTAATGTATGATATAAGCATAAACGTTTCTGCCATGTATTTCTTCTATTAATGGTAGTAACCAAAATTTAAATCGTAGCTTAGTTTTATTACATATGTGTTAAAAGATATTTTATAGCACTTTTTTCTCTCTTATTTAACAGGTGGAATTTTATCATTTTGTTCAGAACCTGAAACAGTATGTACAGTATTTCGTCCATGCTGTGGAAGAGATTGGGTATGTAATCGTAAAAGTTCTGCCACTGGCAAATGTGTTCAATGTGCACAAGCTAATAGTCCATGTATTCATGCAAATGATTGTTGTCGAGGTGCATGTATAAAAGGTTCATGCAAATTGATGAGTTTCTTTGGTGAGGAGTGAAAAAAAAACCCAGTTGATTACAGATTAGATTTATTTCTTCAAAATATCATATTTATGGATAATTTAAAAAAAATACATTTCTATATACACAGTACTTTGTTTTACTTTATCAATCTTCAGTAAAATGATTTGATGATATAAACTATTCTAAAATTCAATTGTATCCAACTAGAATTCATTATCACTTACAATATTTAATCATAAACAGTCAATTTGATATAATTTAACCAGAATATTAAATCAGTCATTTCATTACAGTGATACCGTTTTTTCGGGTAGTGCTTTCTAGGATAACAACGTTCAACATTCAAAATTTAGAAACGTGTAAGAAATGTAACCATTGAAAGTTTAATATATTCTTTACTAATATTATCTAATTCGATGTGATTTGGTTCTTATTTTAAATTGACTTATTAAATAGTCATTGTTTATACCTAAATTTATTGTCATCCTGTTGAAAATATAATTATCAGTATAGGGTTGTGGAGATTATTAGGTTTTTGATTGAGATCATGAACCGATTGATGTCAGACCATTGATAACCTGGAAGTACTGGATGACTGTTTTGTCCTATTGTGAGGCTCCACAGCACTGTGCATCCACGATCTCGCTCACAGGATTCGAAACGGTCGTACAGTGCTCCCAAGTTTTCAATGGTGGTCTAACATCAATCGGTTAGTGATCTCAATCGAAAATATAGTTATTGTTTAATTAGATAACATTGTAAATCATACCAATCTAGTTTGATTTCTCAGCTGTAAATCCAGCTATATGATACACCATTATAAGGAACCCTATTTTATGTTTAAGAAACAGAACCTCATCTAGTTAAATATACTCGATAATACTCAGTGCATGATCGCCCCCAAATGCCCTGGTAATACCGAGGGTGGGGAGAGTCAGTCCTCCCTCTTGAAATGCTCTCACATGGCCACGTGCATACAACTACTGCCAGGGAAGTCCTACTCACTGCCTTCTCGCAGCATTACTGTTGTTTATGAAATTGGGAGGACGAAAAGCGAATGTCTGGCGCTTGAGCCGGGTTGGCGGTGAGTACGGAGGATCCACCTAGGAGATTTGAAAAGCCCTGGTGCACATGGCCTCTAGAATTCTGAAGGAACAAATGGCCTATGAACCAATCGTTGCTCACAGGCTACCATGGGACTGCATCTTCTGACGTTGCTCCACTGCCTTGTGGATCAGACCTTTAGGTCGAAGGCTTCGGGTGTTGCCCTCCGAAGAAAACCACCTGCTTCGGTTTAAGCACCCGGACAGTATGCCAGCCCTCACACAAATTGAATGATTTTGTTATGGATGCAGAATAATATACCAATCATTATCATGTTAAGTCTAATGATGTCCTTGGACCTTAAATGGACATTCCCTATTGGCCATTATTTATTTCATTCGTTAAATATTGTACAAATGTTGTTTTCTATTTTTATGGTACGATGTGGTCTGTTTGGTTAGGATATAAATAGAGTATGTCTGAAATACAATGATTCATAACTCAGAGGCTGTGACTTGCATTCTGGACTCAACTGACTGGGCTAGACAGGGAAGCGGGACCAATCGGGACTGTAGGTCGTCCTTTCGTGTCACTGTAATCGATCGATAATATACGCTGCTCCATCTAAACTGCAATCCACACGTTACAACAGATTTATGCACCAGATATCTATTTGGTACCTCCTTGTACTAATGTTTATGTGTTTAAATAAATAAAATAAATGAACTGTATATGATTGTTGTTAGTTCTAAGATGTTGCAATCAGTCAGTGGCAATATTATATAAGTGATGCTTAACTTTAACAGGGATTATTTGACACGAAATAATGATAATTTTAATTGGTGTTTTCTGCAACAAAAAACAAACAAACAGAATTTATATACCAGAAAGGGTTTTGTGGAGACTTTAGTGATTTCAATAGTTGAAATCATGAGTCAAGTGAAGCTAGATCACCATGGAAAACTTGGAAGCACCGGATGGCCACTTCGTCCTATTATGGGAAACCTCAACAATGTGCATCCACGATCCTGAACCCGGTGAGATTCGAGCCCAGGACTTATCAGTCTCGCACGTGCGAGCACTTAACCATTAGACCACTATGATCATCAATTGCTTCCAAGTTTTCCATGGTGATATAGCTTTAATTGACTCATGATTTCAACTATTAGAACTTATCTACGTTTATCAAGTAAAAGAAATTCACACTATTGGAAAAGTGAATTCGATAAGAAAACAACAATAAACACTAAAGCAAATTTTTATTCTGAAGCGATAAATTTAACAAAACAAAAATAAATTGGAAAAATTAATTAGTTATTCTTTAGAAACTAATTTAGTCATAAACACAACAGTATTTAATTGATCTGAGAAAATCTCACTTACCTGTATTTAACAAAATAAACCTTAATGGAATGATATGGAAAACTTTTTTTTTAAAAAAAAGAAAAAAAAAGAAAAGAAACGAATGTGAACACTAGTAAAAAAAATTTTTCTCAAACTGTTGAACCGTTCATAGTTTGCTAGCAAGTTGCAAAGTAACAAATTTTTAACTATTCAAAACTTCCAAAACATCAAATCATGAGAAGGAACATCAAAACGATTGGTGATCAATTAGAAATTTTTTTTTAAAAAAAAAAGCACAATGATCTTAGCTTATTAGATTAGAATAATTGATATAAACAAACCGGGGTAAACATGAAGAACTATGATAAAATTGTTTATGCAAAAATTAGAAAAAAAAAACAACAAACAAACAAACAAACAAAACAGAATGCTGAATAATAATTAAGCAATAAAGATGTTATATAATCCATTTATGAAAATTTTATTTTTAAAAAAATGCAAAACAAAAAAAGAGATTGTTTGTTCACAGGGATGGATTAGTGAGTTCGAATTCAATTTACAGATGATTATTTGTTTATCTTCTTATTAGTACTTGTCCGTGTAGTAGTAGACCTGTTGAAGATGGTAGTTTTCGCTTTGTTAAAGAAATATAGAAAAAAAAACACAGTACTTTAGAAATATGTAATTTTAACTATTTCAATTTTAACTAGTAGGAAGATCACAAATATATTTGGTATTAAAGATAACCAAATGCAGATTCATACCAATTCTACTTTATTTATTATGAAGTGATAATTGAGTCGTAGAATTTAATGTATGAATGAATCAAAACAGTTGAAGTTTAATTCATTTGGTGTTGTTTACTTGTATCTTCGGATTGTTATTTAGGACGAAACGCTCGTCCTGCATTCCGCTGCTAAACACTATCCATCTTTTCTTATAAAGCTTGTGACATCAGGTGATATCATGGCAGTCTGAACAGGATGCACATATGTCAAAAAGAGACCGATCAATTACAGTCCTAAATAACAATGAGAAGATACAAGTAAAACAACACCAAGTGAATATAACTTCACCTCATTGCACAAGCAGGTGGCTATCAGGACTCAGTAGCTAAGTGGATAACGCGATGGTATTTGAAGTGAACGGTACTGGGTCCTAGTCCCGAAGTGAACATCAATTGTGAGATGCAGGTACATCTAGATGACGAGTCCCAAATAGGGCGAAACGCGTGTCGAACTGGATTCCATTGCTAGCCACTATCCATTTTTGCTTATAAAGTTAAAGTTTAAGATAATTGACGAGAAATGTGGAAGAGCATTAAAACTTTACTGGCTATTTGTTGACATTTCAGCTCGACATTTATAATTACTGAAAAATTTAATAAATATGCTACGTAAGTATAGGAGGATGACTAGTTTTTTCAATAAATTGTCAGTTTAATCATTGAATTGATTCCCGATAAGCTTATCAAAGCAAGTGAACTATTATAGGATTGGTACGAAAAAGTACATGAGATGAGTCTTTGAATCTGCAGTGAGCTTATGACAAAGTTCAACTCTGAAATAAGTAAGAGATAAACTTTATCTTTCAGTAACATTGAGACCACAGTCTTCGTTCTGAGAAAATACTGTCTCCTACTCTGGAAATTTAAACTATCTTTTGATTTCAAATGAATATGACAGCTTAACATTGTCCGTCAGAGTTGAAAAAGTCATTCGATTTTTTACAGTAGCCTTATTAGGTTCTATAAAGTACGTCGGTATTACATTATTACACTGAATTCTCCTCAACAAACTGAGCCTATTCTACAATCTGTCAACCCATTAGTCTCAGACATCAAAAACTGCTCTAATGAAATGATTCACATAAACAACTTGAACGTTTTGGTTCTTAGACTGCTTCATGTACCTTCTATAGTGAAGGTTTAGTCTACCATGCCGAAACGCAATTAATAATGTATTAATGTCACGATTTAGATATTTCTGTTTATACTATCATAAGGTCGCATTTTGTTTATGAATGATAACTCTACGCTTGTTAAAATTATATCTGTTGTGTTGTATATATAGTTGATATTATTGTACTGTAAAATGATATCATTTATGTTTACACATCCTGCACACATTTCATCTCCTATGACTAACAACTTTGTCCGAACTGCTCAATTTAATGAAATTTAGAAACCGAATGTTTTAGGAAAGCGAACACTTTCCTTTATCATTGTTAATGTCTATCGATTTGATCATCCCTGAAAACTGACGTGTATTCTGTACTCATTTTCCGAATATATCATTATTATTATTATTATCATTGTGTAGCTACTGGTACTCAATCGGTTTATATATATATGTTGGGTGCCTTGAGGATTTCCTCAGAAATGTCTTCAGGAGCTAGAAATCAAGGAAAATACTCTGAACAATTAATGTAAAATAGAAACTTCCCAGAGCAATAACGGATTATAAGTAATATACGGATTAAACAACTACAAATTTGGTTACTAATTTTAGAATGATTACAAAATTTCCTGTTCAAGGTTTAAGTGTAATAGATTTATGAAGGATCAGGCAGTTAACAAGTCAGTATCAACCATTCACATATCAGATATATTAATCCTCATATAAAATACTTACTTGGAACAGTTTGTCTTAGTAATGAAGAGTTGTTATGGATTGATGCTTCATTCTCATATGATGAATTCAGTGATTTCATGTCACAGTCCTTATTTGTTAAAGGAGTTGATACAAATGATCTTTGTTCTTTAGAGTTCATATTGTTTAGTGTAGTAAGACGTGATTTATTAATTGGAGTTACATTAATTAATCCTAAATTACTTTCACGTTTTGATGTGGAATTTGTATTCATCAAATTAGCCTTTATAGGTGTACTACCAAAATGACTTGTTTTATGGGTAACTATAATATAAAATATTAAATTATTAACATTTTAATTAATGTAACTAAAGTTATCATCATTATAACATGAAAAGTTTACATGATATAAATCCTTATTTGATTTGATTGAATAATCAAAAAGATTCGATAAAACACTTAGTGATTTAAGTTTGGGAAGATAATAATCATACGAAAATTGCCAGTGTACATGTAATGTCAGTCACTATGTTAAGCCCAAATAATTGATTCTAACTTATGGACAGGTCTGTTTATATTCATTCTTCTTGAGTCATGTCTTGACCTTTTTAATTATTCACTTATCAACGCTGACTATTCTTATATGAGCGTATGTGTGTGTACACTTCGTATCCTACTCATCACATGTCTGTAGCTTATTTTTATCTGGCTGCAAATATTGAATAACGCTTGATTAATTGAAGTTGGCTCACATGCCTTCTCCATTGCGTGACATTTCACTTCGCTCTCTTCTATTCGCTTCATCCTCCTGAATGTCTGTTCGGATCAATTATTATTATTATTATTATTATTATTATTATTATTATTATTATTATTATTATTATTATTATTATTAGCTTTATTCAATATTATAATTTTGGTACAATATAGAATTCTCAGCACAAAGTATTTCAACAAGTTTCCGTTTCTTTCTTCTTGGTCGGTCCTGGCGATAAATATTGAGGAATCGCCAGTTAGATGTTAGCACTTCAGTGAATGAACAACTGAATAATGTACATTCTTTTCGTTGTACATTGCCAGCAACCATATTGTCTCTTATTGAGTTTTCTGTAACTTTGACAACGAAAGGTTGTACACTTTTCAGAAACGCAGCAGAATAGGTTATGCGATTAATAAACACAATGATATATTAAAACAAACAACAATAGATAACTTGTTGAAATATCTAGATGGCAGGAACAGGTAGCCCAGATGCTCAAGCAGGCCGCCCACAAAATATACATTTTCGAAATCCTTCATTATATTTGACTTATTTTAATTCCGTTATTCACTGACGCGGATTAAGTCGATAATAATATATGAGGATTGATGACATTGTATATCTCAATTACTGGAGTCAGATCTCGGGCCATTAAAAACATTTCAGGATTTTTCAGAAGAGATGATTAAACTGTAGGAGTTTAGCCAGGTTTCGTGTTATAATACTTGTGTAACTACATTCATTTTAAAATATTCTTACAATATTTTCAGGTATTTAGCCGAACTAGTCTAATAAAAATTGGCTGCGAAAAAGAGAATTCACTAATGGACACCTGTGAAATACTGTAAAATTCACAATATCGTCGAAACTAACAATCTTGTTTACAAAAACATAAAATAATCCTACCTTTTGGGGTTTGGATTTTAGTTAGACAATCATTTGTCTCCAAGAATCATTAGATTGTTATTTAGTAATAGTATGGGACTAATCAATAGCACATACCCACAATCCAACACCAGAGATTGAACGAAGGACCTTTGGGTATCACACACATACACAGAGAGAGACTTACTATTAGATCAGTGAGGTGACAATCAACGATTCACATTATTTACGTTAGTCAATTCACAAAATAACCTAACGATCAGGAAGGTGGAAAGGATAGATATGCACTGATTTATTAATTATAAGACATTACAGATTCAAGCTTAGAATTTTGTCTACATCTAGTTTACCCGAATAGAATAAATGAAAAAATGTTTAGATTAGACTATTATTATTATTATTGGCATATAACATGCATAAACAATGAATAAGTATTGTTTATTTTAAGTTTATGACTCAATCCATTATGATTCATATTGTACTTCACATAACGAATACTTTTTTGTCAGTTTAATTTATGCTATGCCAAACATACTTTGTTTAAAAATGTGTGTAGTTTATACAGCGTGCAGTTGTGTATATTTTTCTCCTGCAAAAACATCTCCAATACATAGATTTATAAACTTTAAATAATGTGCCATTCTATTACGTCCAACCCCCTACCATCAGTAGTAGGTAATAATGAAACAGTCGATATTTGGAAGTACAATTTACATTTGATCGTTCACTGAATAATGACCAGTGAGATGTCTATTTGTTCCTTTAGTGCTGGCCGAGTTCTATCGGCTAGTTTACTTCCATATGCCTTGATATAACCGAGAGTGGGAAAAATCCCGTCACCCTTTCGAGATGCTATTATATGGCCACGCGCATATAGCTGATCCTAGAGGAGCTCTACTCACTGCCTTTTTGCAACAAGGGTGGTGTTTACGAAACTGAGAGGAGCAAAAGTGAATACGCGACGGTTAAACCGGGTTTGTGGATACCAAGCATCGATCTAAGGAAGCTGAAAAACCCTGGTTTCAAACCAATGGTGCACATGAGCTCCAGGATCCCGAGGGAAAAATAGAGCACAAACGTAGTCTTGGTCACCAATTACCATAAGACCGCACTTTTTAATGTTGCTCCACTGCCTTGTGGATTTGACCATTAGGCCAAATGCTCGGTGAGCGGCCACTTAAGAAAATCACCAGGAGAGTATCGAATTCCACACACAAATTAAATGAAAACTTGTGTGGCGCATGTATATTTTGGTGTTCCTCTGTATTAATGTATGCGTTTAAATAAATAATCAGGTTACAATGTTACCACTAATCTAAATGACTCAACATCAAATACACTGTATGTTGAAATATTAGGTTATTGGATGTAATCAACTACAAGGAGATTTCTTAAAATACAGAAAAAGCACGTCTAGTTGTGTTAATTTCATTGAACTGCAAAGCTTCTGTTGTTGTTCTGGATAAAAATCATCAGAGTTAAATTGAAATAAAAGTAAAGATTTTAATGAAAGCTTTACAAATAAACCGAGTATCTCAGGGTAATTTAACAGTGTTAAAAGTACTCATTCGAGATACAAATTTAGTTCATCATTCCAAAACAACAAAAGGAAACGTGTAGAGAAAGGAAACATGTGTTTTTGAATAGTATCTATGTATACAGCACTACTCTTTAAATTTCAACAATGAATCAGAATTGCAACCACTTCGTTATTATTTTCTTTTATGAACAATAAAGATGAATTAGACAATATATTCTGTGAATGATTTTCTTCATCTATCAATAAACATGTACCTGAGAAAGTGATGTGATGGCATAGTTTACTAAAAATGCTCATTACAAATGATTAATGAAAGCATAATATGGCACTGGAGCGGTTTAACAATGCATTATCAATTGATAGACTATAAAACTTAAACATCAAATTAGAAAACATTAGAATTTTTTCCTCGTCAACTAAAGTGTTTTGAGTAGCACTCTATGCCTAACTCTGTAAGTATTGAAATGGTCTAAGAACAATTGATAAAGCGAATTAAATGGTGAATTGCAACTGACTGCATTCATTTCAAGAGCATAAGAACCTAATAAAGTAGTGTGTGAGAATGGGGGTATGTGGAGATTGTAGTAATTTTAAAAGTTGAATTTATGAGTCAATCGGAGCTAGAGCACCATTCAAAACGTGGAAGCACTGGACAGTTGTTTCGTTTTAGTGTGAGACTCATTAGCAGTGTGCATCCACGATCTTGTGCATTAGGAAAGTGTAGTATAATTTACTATTTCAATTCAACCATATTGTTTAATCTAATTTCATTGAAAACTGTCTAATCTCAAAATGATGATTGAATTCATTTCTATGGTAACATAATCAAACACCAGTGCGAAGGTTATGAAAATCGTTAGATTTTTTATTGAGATCATCAATCAACCAATGTTAGACCACCATTGAGAACCTGGAAGCACTGAACAACGGTTTTGTCCTAGTATGGGACATCTCTGGATGCTGCTGGATGCCAGCTCAGTGGTCCACAGGTTAAGCGCTCATGCGCGAGGCTAAAGGTCCTGGGTTCGAGTCACGCATGCGGGATCGTGAATGCGCACTGCTGAGGAGTCTCTCACTAGAACGAAACGGCTGTCCATTGCTTCCAGGTTTGCAATGGTGGTCTAGCTTAGATCGACTCAAGAGTTCAACTATTAAAATAGTATCAGAATGTGTTTTGTGGAGATTTTTAGAAATTTTCACGGATTGAAATCATGAGCCAGTTGAAGCTAGACCACCATTGAAAACCGGGAAGCACTGGACGGCCGTTTCGTCCTAGTATGGGACTCCTCAGCAGTGTGCATCCACGAACCCGCACCACCCGGGGCTCGAACCCAGGACCTACTGGCTTCGCGCGCGAGCACTTAACCATTAGACCACTGAGCCGGCATCCAACGGTGTTAATGTCTAACTTCAACCAATCCACGAAGTTGCGCTACCGTACACCATTGTCTTCAGTGAGTTCCTATCTCACAACAGACCTGGTTGAACTCCACTGGTAACGAAACGGCCGTCCAGTGCTTCCAGGTTTTCAATGGTGGTCTAGCTTCAACTGACTCATGATTTCAATCTGTGAATATTAAAATAGTATTTGATTAGAGAAAAATCGTAATCTAGCTGATCGTCAATTGTTAAAATTCAATGATACTGGTAGCTCAAAAGTTATAAATCGAGTCCTGTCATGATCCAGTTGTTTTTCATCAGCTTCAATCACAAACTCTGTAATTTCATATGAACATGAATACCCATTATAATGAGTGATGGAGTAGGTAATACTTGATAAAATATACAGAATCACCAAACTAGTAGCTTACTTCTGCATGGATCACGTGAATCCAAGAATTCATTTAAACTCATCCATCCACCTCCTACTCGCACAATCGTTGTACTATTCAAGAAGCGAACCAAGTAAACTCGTGAACTGGATCCAAACTTTAAAACAAGCCAAAAAAATGTATAAGCAAATTACCTCTTGTTTTTTCACACCGAAAACAGTTACATGGAACACATATGTTAAATAAAATAAAGTAGAAATTAATTAAAGGGTAGGCCTTTTTATTTAGTATAGAGCATACTGAACTTGGTATTTTTACATTATAAACTACACTTAGTTAAAAAAAACTATCACAAACCAAGAAGTAATAAATAGATCTTTGGTCTAAGTATTCATCTGTTCATCAGTGTGTATTCACAATCCTACTGAGAATCGGACCCAGATCGTCATTTAATTGCATGGAGTTTTAGGAAGCATCAGTATTTTCGTACCCTATTTTATAGATCACATGTAAGAAAATAAACTAATGAAAACGTGTCATTGATGTTGTAGTCAAGAGTATAACAGAATTAAATTAACTTAACTTACACAATATCGATCCTTTCCAATTTTTCTCGGTTGAAATTTTGGTTGACAAACACATTTACTAGTTTCTTGTTCTATTGCATGTTCAATTAATTTATCAGTTGGTAGAGGTTTATGCTGAAAAATGTAATTTGAATTTGATAAAAAACAACTACTTTTTTCTGTATCAATAAATAGATTGTAAGTTTTGAAAAATATATTAAAAAGATTTATTCTAGAACAGTGATTAACGGATACTCTGTCTTTTCAATTAAATTGTTTTTAGATTACGTAAAGATGGATAGTGACTAGCAGTGGAATCCTGTTTGACACGAGTTTCGCCCTATTTGGGACTCGTCATCTATATGTACCTGCATCTCACAGTTGGTGTTCACTTCAGGAGTCGAACCCAGTACCGTTCACTTCAAATACCATCGCGTTATCCACTTAGCTACTGAGTCCTGATAGCCACTTGCTTGTGCAATGAAGTGAAGTTATATTCACTTGGTATTGTTTTACTTGTATATTCCCATTGTTATTTAGGACTGCAATTGATCAGTCTCATGTTGGCATAAGTGCATCAATTGCAGTCCTAAATAATAATGGGAAGGTAAAAGTAAAACAACACCAAGTGATGTGTCCACAATTTATTAAATGCTCCTGTATGGAATTAGTAATTGTTTTACATTCACCTTTTAAAAGCCAAACCGGATAGTGTTCAGAGATGCGTTTGGAAATTGATCGCTTTGTGCGGCCTATGTAACAATTACTCCTTATTTATAGAAAATGACTTTAAAATAATAAAAGAAATCCATTGATTCATTAGGGAAAAAAACAAAGATAACTTTTCAGCGAAGAAAAGTTTCATTTCAACGATACTATTTTCCTATGATGTATAATTACATTTATAGGTAATTTTTTACATCTAGTAGTTTATGATAAAATAGAAGAGTGTTATACAATTTTAATAGTTGAGATCATAGGTCATTTGAAGCTAGACCACCATGGAAAACCTGGAAGCACTGGATGGCCGTCTCGTCCTATTGTGGAACTCCTCAGAAGTGCATATCCACCGTTTGCTTCAAACGCCATCGCGTCATCCACTTACCCACTGAATCCTGATAGCCACTTGCTTATGCGATGGGGTGAAGTTTAAATTCACTTGGTATTGTTTGTTTGAATTTAGGCTATATCGAGGCAATATGCACAGTATGTACATATGCCAATAAGAGACTGATCAATTGCAGTCCTAAAGATCTAACAAACAATACCGAGTGATTGTTTTTAGACTAGTTTTAGAGTTGACAACATTGTATCAACTCTTGATTATATACATACTAGACAGATGACTATAAAGTATTTGTATCTCATATTTACATAGATACATTGTGAAACAAGTTTGCCCAGGACAGGGTTGGATGGCGAATGCTGGTGAGCGGCCTATGTTCCTTCACGAGGAGTAACGGGCGTAAGTAAGTAATTGTGAAACAAATGAGAATAAAGAGATAATATTAACTACTAATACAGTTGATAATGAATATCCAATTAGATTTCTATAATAAAGATAAATTTGATTACATCCTAAACAAAATTTGAACGGAAACCGTTTATATTTAGAATATTAAGCATTAAAGAACGAAAAGCATTTTTAGCTAGTTGGTCTTGGGAGATCAGGTGACTGTTTTACTTAAATTGATTAATTAATGAATACTGCGCATGTCTTCAATCAGATTTTGAAATGTAGTATAAAGTTACTCAAGAAATACCAGTTTATCCATTTAGTAGATCTGAAAAACTTTTACTTTCATTAAAGTATTTCACTGAATATGTTAAAACTATTTGCAAATTGTAGGTTGGTTAAAAATGGGAACATGAAAGGAACAATTATTGATTATGCAAATATAACAGAATAGGATTTATTTTACAAAGTTTATCGGCATTTTATAGAATACTGTTTGTCTTTATAAACAAATCTGACAAACGTATGTGTTAATGAAACCATGATAAAGATGCCTCATAAATATGTAATCAAAATCATATTGATATACAATTTTACAAGGTATATGTGTACGAAAGGCTTAAGGCAAACTATTTTGAGTAAGAGCACTTATGATGAAAAACTTATTTCACTAGATAAAACATTAAGAATTGTTATGGATGCTGAGGAATAATATGCCAATCATTATCATGTTAAGTCTAATGATGTCCTTGGACGTTATCGATCGATAAATACGCTGCTCCATTTAACTTGCAATTCACCCGTTACAACAAGAATAGTAACTAATTTACTGTTGTTATTTTTTTATGAGTGTATTGAATTGTTTACTATTGTATTATGGCCATTTACACTTAGCATTGTGTACTATATTCTGTCGTTAAAATATGGTCTATTCCTAAAATAATACAAAGTCTCTTGTAACGATCTGTACTTCTTTTTTCTTAACATTTATGTGTCCTTTGAAGAGTTATTTTTGTGAATGATTGATAACATCTAGTTCCTAGTTGTTGAACTAACCATCTATATTGAGTATTCAATTCAATAGTTCGTTTCATACATTTATAAGTCATAATTTTGATATGAAAACACGAATAATTTGAATTGCTTCTTTTAAACCGAAGAAATAAAAACAAATATAATTACCTGTTTTTTCGGACTTAATGCTTCAATAATCTGATGACATGTAACTATGCCCTTTTTTGCTTGGTCAATTGTATAAAATGCAGACTTGATGAAAATAGGATTTGCCCAATCATGTGTTGGTCTACCATGTAGAACTGCTTGTATAAATTGTGAACAGTTTACTTCATCTGGCTTATGGCTCACATTTTGTTTATGTTTGTTATCAGAGAGCGGTTGTAATGATTCACGACTCGATCGGATGAGAGATGAACGACTGTTAGATAATTGAGGTTTGATATTATTAGACGAAGTATAAACTGACTGAGAAATCGTAGATACATTAGATAATCGTGTTGGACGTTTGAATAAATCAGAATTCACTTCATCTGTATTGGTGGATATGTTTGATAGCTGTCTGTCAGTTCGTAATGCCGATAAGGCTTTAGGGTTAAATATGTCACTTAGTCGATAATGACGATTTGCAATCCACTGTAAGTACCCCTGCTTCCACAGATCGAAATTGAAATGAACTAAAAGATTGTGCTGCAAAAGTTGTAAGGAAGGCAAACATGACTGAAATCAGGGACTATGTAATTAAAGAAACATTGGTGTTTTAAAAATAATTATACATATGATAATTAATTATTCTAAGCATAATATCGAAAGGCTACACAGATAGAAAAGTGGCAAGCACAAGTTACATCTTACGCTTAACCATACTCTATGTTTAAAAAATTGATTGAGGATTTCTCTTTTCCATGCTGTTGTTCATTTGTATTAGTTTTTAGAGTGTTAATCTCCTAGGTCAGTATGATGTTCTAGTTGGTTTTAAAGATTGACTCGCTAGTAGCAGGCCGGTTTTTGTTCTTGTCAAGGATGTATTGATCGTATCTTCACCCTCTGTCAAATGTTGCAACATAGCCATACTTATTGCAGGTCAACGATCATTGTGATTCATGACATCAGGGCCTCCTTCGATTTGTTGGACAGGACTGTAGATATCGAGATTTTCTACTGAAGAAGGGTGTCTGTAAAGTTTATTAATATCTTGAAGGTTCTACATACAAATACCTCAGGCAGAGTAAGGGCATACAACCAGCTCTCCCCATTGTTTCGTTCAAGCAGTGGAGTTAGGCAGGGTTACCCAATCTCACTATTCCTTTTCAACCTTGCCATCGAGACGTTTCGTAAACAACTCTGATCGATGTAGGTAATGATGGTCTAGATCCGATACCTGGAAAAAGACTTTCTAAATTTGAGTATGTGGATGAGACTGTCTTATTGTCTATGATACTCAAGCCATGCAATCCGCATTTAATCAGTTAGCAATCAGCGTCCGTGAGTAAGGCATTTACTTTGCACAAAACTATATTTTATGACCTTAATTTTAGTGATTCGCTTCAACTGGCGGACACCAATTACTAATATAAATATTAATTGCATAAATATCTTTCATATGTGATAAGTTAATTTATGAAAACGAAAATGAACAACTGCGTAGTATGATTAGGTAAAGGTGTTACTGAGTCTATAAGTAATGTCATTCTTTTCCATCAAATTAACGACTTACATACTTAATTGAACCTGTTATTCTCAATAGAGCACTGGCCGCCGACCACCATTCTCCAACCCACTCTGTCCTGGGCCTTCATTTCTAGTTCTGTTCAATTGTTGTTCATTCTTCTCATGTCGGTTTCCATTTCTTGGCGTCATGTGTTCTTTCGTCTTCCTCTTCTCTTTTGACCTTGATGATTCCACGTGAGGGCTTGCCTTGTGACGCAGTTAGGTGCTTTCCTCAATGTGTGTCCTATCCACTTCCAGCGCTTCTTCCTAATTTCTTCCTCTGCTGGGATCTGGTTTGTTCTCTCCCACAGAAGTTGTTGCTAATAGTGTCTGGCCAACGGATTCGAATTATTTTGCGTAGACAACTGTTAATAAACACTTGCATCTTCTCGATGGTAGCTTTCATAGTGTTGTCCTGTCCACTCTATCAAATGCTTTCTCATAGTCAATGAAATTGATGTAAAGTGATGAATTATATTCCATTGATTGTTCCACAATGATCCGTAGTGTCGCGATTCGGTCTCTACACGATCGATCCTTACGGAATTCAGCCTGTTGGTCTCGAAGTTGGGCGTCCACAGAGTCCTTCATTATCCATGCGGAGTTATCGAATTGACAACGGATATAATATATTGAGATTGAAGATGCTTTTTTCAGTTATACATATAAAGTTCTCAATAATTTACCCAAAGGTTTATGATTATACGGCTGGCATCAACTTCAAGAAACCCTACCTTTATGAACAAAATGAGATAGCTTTTTGTTTACTATGGTTCAAATTAGGGTCACATTTCATTCGTAGTCCTAACTTATAAGTACACATTATAGTCAATAATCCTTTCTATTGCGTTCCGATTTGTACTCTCTGCTATGACATAATGTTATTTTAAATTATACACTCATCTTTTTTATTTTAGATGATATTCTTATTATTAAGTATTGCCATTATTAACTCTAAAATTTACACAACCAACTACATTAAGGAATACAGTGGGATTAATTGCATAGAGTAAATATAATTTGTATCTATATATTCATTAGGAAATATATTAATCGAATCAAGGGTGTGATGCATGAGGCACACATAATGATGACATCTCATTATTGCCAAAACAGTAATTAGCAGGTATAGTTGGGGTTCATGAGGTTGTGAATTAGTCGAAAAACAACAGATTTGGTAAGAATATTGACGAACAAAAATAGATTAAGCAAATATTACATACACTTAGAATTTATGTATATATATACCTCAAGTATTTTTTTATGACAGCATTCCAATTGTTTAATTCGTTGACTAGATCGATTCAATAGATTGTAATAAGAAGTTTTCAATTTGTTTGCTCTATCACAATTATCCTGATCAGCAACGGTAGTAAAAGGTGAGTAGGAATAATCATTATTATAATTTTCATTGACCATTTCCTTTCTTGGTGAATATTGTGCAGTAACATCAATAGAAGGGAGATTATTTATACTACTGTTTCCATTATCAGTAATAATTTCACAAAGGTTCCGATAAGCATTCATACAGTCACAGATTTTCTGTTCTCTATTTTTTATGGCTTCAAAGTTTTCCTGTACAAACGATAATAATTAATAATGAAGAAAAAGAATCAGTATTAAAGTTCATAGTATACAAAATATAAAGCTCTTTTATAGTTTATATCACGAACTGACACTATAATTAGAAAATCACTGGAAACTGAGAAAACACTAGATAACTGTTTCGTCCTGGTATGAGACACCTCACCACAGCATATAAACGAACCTAAGATGAAACAACTATCCAGTATTTCTTGGTTTTCAATGATTGTTTGACACAAACTAATATTTGATATAAAATAACAAATTTAGAAGTTTACATAATCTCCTTATACCAATAGTAATCATAATAATAATAATCTTTTCTGAACGTGTGCAGATGATATTGTTCTGAAGAACGATCAAGGCTCCACGACCAAATCATCCAGCCCAATGAACAGAACTCCACCAAAATCATCCACCTGATCTACGAATCTTTTCCCCCATCTCAGTTACAGATATTAGGCAATGAGAAATGACTATTCGCGTATACAGGCTTCACTGAACTTATATAAAATATAATACGCGGCTTTCTAATTTTCAAAGCACTATTCATACCAACAAATCTTAGTGACTAGTCTGATTACAATGACCTGAACATTGAACAGTAGTTTCGTTGACTTAAGATCCAATACAGTAAGATATATTTGCTTTGATTAATCTTAAAGGTTAAAATTGTTTAAATCACTTTATATCTTAAAACAAATAGTACACTGAGGTAGTGGGATTTGAAATCGATATACCCTTTTAGTAAGGTTAAAATATGAATAGAATAAATTGTTGTAAATTGTCGATGTATTCGTTCTACAGATCGTCAACACACACTCGCCTATAAGCTGTTCAAGAACAAAAAAAACAACAAAATTTGAATTGTTTACCAAAATAATATTACACAACCATGTGTTCCAATGGATTACAGTTTTTCCAAGAAACAAACAATATACAATAAGATACCTGACTTGTAATCTTTATATATATTTTGCTTTTTTTGTACCGTAACAAAAAGTTCAGTTTACAATAATGAAATTAATGCTGTCTGATTCTCTATTTTACGAAAATACTTGGCTGGTCAATTGTTCAATTTCGTATAAGGTTTCTTCTTTATAGATTGTTATCATTAGAATAATTTAAAGTCATTATAACATAATAACCAAATGTTGGTAGGGAAGATGTTTTGAATAATTACTTGTTAAATGCTCGATAAAAGATTAACGAAGCTGTATAATCATAATATCCCTGTAAATAAAGCTTTTAATATTATTTTCAAAGGTAGATGGTAGCAAGCTCTGGGAAATGTCTTACAGACATTAATTAAGAAGATAAGAAATGAAATAAGTGATTAGTTTTGATTTCTCTAACATCGTGATATTTGTATCGCCAACCATGTTGTAAAATGTCAACGTTAAGAGTTTTCAAGAAGGTGACCTCTCCCAGAGGTAACTGATAATCTTCCGTGTGCTAAGAATTCATAAGAAACTGATCGAAATTGAAGAAAGATTAGATATTATTAAAGTTTTCACATAGGCGATATCTCATTTGTTTATACATTTCTGATAAAAGAACAAACTTTGGTTATTCTCCTAATAAATCGATTAATTTATTTAGCCAGCTAAATATATAAATTAATCTTTACCTAGTCAACCTTGATTTACTGGAAATAAACGTTTTCTCCATTGATATTATGAAATTACACAAAATAATTCTAATTTTTGCCAATTAAGCAGCTTACTTATTGGAGAATAAAAAAGCTCACCTAAAGCTCTAAAGGAGTTTGAAATCATGACATTCATGGTTTTCAATGAGCGAACCACTTTTGTTTAAATCTATTTTGTCTACGTTTCTCACTTCATTCAGTTCCTGATGTAAGTCGACAATAATTTGGTGTCGTCAATGATGACTGTCTTACGTGGAAAATGTTTAGTATTTACCAGTCATTATTTCTAATTAAAAATCGTGGAATCTTTTCCACAGTTTGATACAATATGGTCACAATCAAGAAGCCATATAATACATTTTTCGACGACTTCTAATCAAGTAATTATTATACATTAAGATCCATAGAGTAACAGCAAAATAATCAAAATATCAACTGAAACACATAAACATTATCAAAACTAAATTAACCTACTTTTGCAAAAGTGATTCGCACTTCTAAATCTTTACATATTTCCTCATCAACAGAACCATCAATATCATAGTCATGGTCATCCGCAACATTGTCATAATCATCATCTTCTTCATGATCACCATGATTTACTGAGTTAGAAACGCATTCTTTCAATTCACAGCTACTTGTATTACGAATTACATGGTCACATTCTGAATCCAAAACTAAACTAGTACTACCATTACTACAGTTAATATTCGCCAGTATTTGAGTATCTTGTTCCACATTTGATCCAATCAAGTCAGTTGGGACTATTTGTTTAGATAGATTTTGGAAAATCGTTTTATCTATTGTCAATAATTCATTCAGTTGTAGTGTTTGTTCATCAACCCATTGTTCTTCACATTCGAATTCAATTAAATCATGGATGAGTGCATGTTCCGATTGTTGTTGTGACAATAATTGAAGTCGCAAACATTTTAAACTTTGATCGAGCTAATAAAACAAAAAAAAAACAATGTGGAAAGTATATCATTGTAGTCATGAAATACATAATGTAATATATATATATATGTGTGTGAGTATATTACACTGCAATACGGAGTTGTATGCACACCAAATATCGCAACGCTATAATTTGTAAGATAAAGATTTTGCTACTTTTCACCAAAGAAGACGTATACACATGAAAATAAACCCTTATATTTCAGATTTCAGTAACAGAGTACGATATACTGTAAGCTGGCCAATTCGATTGACAAATACTGATAATCTAAAGTAAATTACGTTAGTATTATGCACTTCAATGGTGACAGATGACAGTCATTATAACTGAAATCAATGTCCATATTCAAAATGAAATATTATTTGTTTATATTAGCACTAATATTATTGCTAATAGTATTATTTTATAGTACAATGAAATACATTTATTTTGTACACTGAATATCTTTTTATCGACTTGACAAAATAAATTGAAACAAACATGATCCTAATTCACTTGGTATTGGTTTACTTGAATCTTTCCATTGATGTATAGGACTGCAATTGATCAGTCTGTTATTGGCATATATGCATACTGTGAGTATTGCTTCGATATTGCCTTAATTTACAAGCATTATAAACCACTATCCATCTTTGTTTATAAAAATGATTCTACTTAATTTTAACATTTACTAGACGGGAGATTTTAGTGAGCCGTCAGTAACCATTTCTCACAGGTTAAAAATGTAAGTGACAGAAGCGGTTAATTCAACTAATGAAACAACACAAGTTTTCTTTAAATTTCACTTTACCAACCCCACAACGAATTTCAATTTACTTCAGGCTATTTTGAATTATTTTTGTCATTATAAAGTAAATTGACTTAAGAAATAAACGTTTGTCACATTTATTTTTATACGATACACGAATCAATACCTACTTTCATCAACATAAGCAAACAATGATATTTTTAAGATATAGTGCTTTTTTTTTAAATCGATCGAACTGAACCTACTGAAATAGGTAATCTTGAATCATGTCGATTAATTAGAGAATAACAACAAAGGTTTAGTAGAGCAACAAAAGATTATTTGAGAGTTAGGTAGTTAGTCATAATAACGAGCCCCCAAATGCTCTGGTACGGCCGAGAGTGGGGAGAGTCCGCTATCCCTCTCGAAATGCTCTCACATGGCCACGCGTATATAGCCTCTGCCAGAGAAGTCCTACTCACTGCCTTCTCGTGGCGGGGGTGTTGTTTAAAAAAATGGGAGGACGAAAAGCGAACGTCCGGCGCTTTAACCGGATTCCAAACCAATGGTGCACATGGGCTCCAGTATCCTGCGGGAACAAATGGCGTATAAACCAATTGTTGGTCACCGGCTTCCATGGGACTGCATCTCCTTACGATGCTTCACTGCCTTGTGGATCAGACCTTCAGGTCGAAGGCTCGGGGTGTGGCTCCCTAAGAAAACCACTTGCTTCGGTTTGGTCACCCGGTCAGTATCACAGCCCTCACACATATCGAATGAGATTTGTGTGGCGCATATGTATTTGGTGCCTCCTTGTACAAATATCTATGTGTTAAAATAAATAAAATAGTCATAATTAGTATAGAGCCTGGTATATATATATATATATATATATATATCAGAATGGGTTTTGTGGAGATTTTAAAAATTCCACTGGTTGAAATCATGAGTCCATTGAAGTTAGACCACCATGGAAAACCTTGGACGAAACGGCCGTCCAGTGCTTCCAGGTTTTCCATGGTGGTCTGGCTTCAATAGATTCATGATTTCAACCAGTGAAATATATATATATGCTCGTTGGTTCAAGTTACCATATTGAAAGGATGATTAGAAAAGATATAGAATAAATGTAATAGCAATCATAATAAGAATAATTGTACATTGAGAAAATAGTTAAGGTTATTGGAATGGAAATGTATGTATGTATGAAGAAGTACTGAGACTCATGATCTAGAAAATTGGTAAGAAAGTTATAGATTCATTGAGCTACATTCATACATTGATGATACTAGTCACGAAAAATAGTGACTATTCAACATTTTGCTTCCCAAATCAATTTTCAAAATTTAATAAATTTTTTTTTATTTTAAACGAAATGATAAATTTGTCAAGTAAACAAGAGGTACGACTTATAGTTTATTAATAATCAGGTTATTTAAATAAACAAGTATTATTTCTACAGGAGGTCGGTCGCGGCTCGAATAGCTCAGTGGTGACGTCTCTGACTGTGAAGCTGGGTGACACAAGATCGAAAACGCCAGGGAGCACTAGTACCCTCGAGATTACGGGTACACCTTGCTGACGAGTGCCAAGTAGCACGAAACCCGGGTCCAATGTTTCCTGTCGACTACCTCCAGCCACCATTTAAGTGTTATTTCTTACTTGTTTATTAAATAGTTATTTATAATTTACACGATATGATTTGAAAATAATCGCAAATCATCTCCATAACCTGATACAGTTTTGATTTCTTTTTTTCAGTGACAAACATATTCATGTTAGTTAAATAAGGTGATAATTAAGAATTTTTAATGATTAGATTGTTAGAACTGCTAATATATAACAATATGAATAGTTGGGAACATAGAGCATAGAATAAAATAGACTGATAATGTTAAATTTATCACTATGTATAGTTAATTGTTTTATCAAGTAACTGGTAAATAATAGCTACAAGACAATAGTAATATTGTAATGAAGGAGAGCACAGGTGGGGACAATGGAATTGTATTTAGCACAAAATTACAGAGTTACTTGGTAAAATGGAAAAAACCATATAGTAAATCGTTAATTCGCAAAATATTAACCCATCATATCAATCTGGACTGTTCTTGTTGCAAACCTCAATCCATTGTCTCACATTTCGTTGTTCAGGCGTTTTTTTTACAAATTGCATCGCGTTCCCGCTCTTCCTTTCTTGATATTACCCCATCTTCTGCTACCAGACATTAAGTTCTTTAATCCAAGTCATATACTACTTATATCAATATAAGTAGCACGAACCACAATACTAAGTAAAAAAGAACAATATTATACTTTAATGGGGTCCTTTATTTTGTCGTCATTTAGAATGGATGATATTTGTTGACGGGCTCTCCATTTTAGTGGCCCAAGATCTAACTCCAGTTTGATCGCATGAATGATCGTTTGTCGAAATATATATGTCGCCTATCCTAGTATATAATCATCGACTTAAATCGCGTTAGTCAATAACGGAATTAAATAAGTCAGATAACGAGAATGGACTTTTGAATACATATATTATGTAAATGAAGCGAATGGATGCGTAGTGGAGATGGCTAGTAAACCAACACCCATTCAACCAAGCATTAATCAATATTTATAATCACACAAAAATAGGTTACAGACATGTGATGAGTAATGGGATAAGAAATGTACACACACCTACCGCGCTTATATAAAAACAATCAAGATTGATAAGCGAACAATTAACAAGGTCAAAATGTGACTCAAGTAGAATGAACAGGTTGGTTTGTCCGAAAGCTAGAATAAAGTATATGGGCTTAACATAGTAACCGACACCACAGTACTTAATTACTTTGATAAACTTTGCATACCACGGTTAATTGTTTGTATTATCAACTATAATTTTAGTCATTTTAACGTAAAATATATGTAATAACAACAATGAGTTTTATATAAAATAATCACAGAATGAACTTCTAGTTGCATGCTTTCAAAGTTTCATTTCAAACTTTGAATTACATCATACTTATAACAGTTAAGATGATCTGGTATTGAAATAAACTATTACACAAGATACAAACATAAAACTTTGAAATTGTTGGTTTGGTGATATTTGTGATCAAATAGTTGCAGCTTACTTATTTCTTCGACTTTTACATGTCGTGTTGCACAAATGAAGAGTAATGTGAGTAATGTGCTAATTTCAGTAAGTTATTAATTGGGAACAAATATTAAATTAATATTATTTTATTGTATATGTTTGGATGAAAATGAATATTGAAAATCGAATGTACGTATCCTGATAAATTTTGTAAACTGAAATCATTGGCACAACTCAAAATCATTCATAATCGAGCAAATCCATTCACCCATTATTTTCTTCCAGATTTATTTCGTCGTACTAATTGCACTATCGTAGCTTGTGCTCATTTACAACTGTGTCAGGGTTTATGTTGATGGTGATTAAGTGACTGATAATAATGTCTCAAGTCAATCATAAACAAATGGCTCAACTTGATACAAATATGTAACGATCTAACTTGTAGTATATTATCGCTGCGGTAAACCGAAAGAAGTATAATATAGTGCTGAAACGTATAATTTTAAAAGACGACAGCATTGAGACCGATTCTGTAGGATATCATATAGTCTTTAATTTTTAATAAAGTTTACATCGTATACTTCCTGATACACCCCGAAACCAACAGTCAAAAGTTTTGCAGTTAAGTGATTGACCAACTGACAAAAGTCCCCTTACTTATTTTACAATCATTCTAAGTATACTACCAACCACTATTTAATACTTCATGTTGAAAGCAATAAGGAAGAACTTACTTTATGCCATAAATTCACAATTTGTCTATATTGAATAATGAACTGCTTTCGACATTTCGAGTAACAGTAAACAGAAACATTCTGTTCTTCATGTTTATCTACTTGTGGTTTAACAAGTACACGTTTTAATATATTTTCAAAGTGATTGAATATTGGTCGATATATGTGGATTTGTTGATGATGTATTTTTACGTACATATTCAATCTAATTTTGTATTGATCAGCGGAGTGGAAAAACAATGTTTGTTTTTGTAAGACAGTTTCCTTATTTTTAGTAACGTAAGCAAGTTCAATTTCTTTATTATTCAATTTATTGGTTACTTCTAATAACCAACTAATTAAATTCGAATAGTTTTTATTTAGTTCTAAGGCAGCATCAACAGCGATCTAAAATGCACATAGAGAAAAGGAAGAATATTTGTAAACATTATTTGGAAAGGAGGGGATCAGGTCTAACGGTTAGCTAAAATAATAATAGTAGTTTGAAAGTATATTACATTACAGGTAGATAGCTAAATAACCATAAATAAGATAACTAGTTATTTAATTCTTAGATAGGATTCCATCAATGATGGAACACAGGATAACGCAGTCTTCGCCTTGAGATTTTAGTCTTCAGAATACTGAATTATTATCCAGTTGTTCATACTATTAAGTTCAGTGAATTCATGATACTGCGCAACATTTATTCATTACTATCGAGGATAACTTTCCTAGTCCTGAGATGACTGAATTCTACCAGTCATGGCTTTTCACGAAGTTTTGTGCACTTTGGCATAGCTCCGAAGAGACCGTTTACAAGAGGAAGCAGTTGACTAAAAATCTCTGGCTTTCAGTATTTGTATAAACAGAGTCACTCTACCGTAAAAATTATCTTCCCATTAATCAACCATTATGAACAAGCCCTTCAAGTTACTAATACATTATTGACATTCATAAGGAAATGAAAACAAAAACGATTTAACTTATTATAATCCGAATTGTTCAGTTATCATAACTCAACCAGCAGTTTTCTAGTTAGAATGAAATCAATAATTATTGTATGGATTGAAGCCCATTCTTGAAACAGTAGATCTCTTAAAATTACCAAATAGTTTGTCATCTTAATCTCACTACATTCTGTGTGTATCATTATTGCTCAATGATATAAGTTAATATTCCATAAATCAGTCTAATTATATTTATTATTATTCAGAATATACAGAATAATAAGTTTATGAATATTGATCACGACTATATATACATCATGATTGAATTTAGGTAATAACCGTAGGGAAAGATTTTCATGTGTTCATTTATTTTTAATTATAGAAAACAACACTAGAAAACATTTTATATTACTTACTTGAAGACATTTTTCACGTAGATTGAACGCTTGTTTTAATCGTATAAAACGATATGTAAGTTTATTGAACTCATCATTATTGTTGTGATCATTTTTTACAAGTATATGATATAATTTTTCATGTTCTCGTAAATCTTCAGCTAAGATCTTTTATTTTGTATTGTTTTTGTTTTGAAGAAAAATAATTAAGGTGAATCATGATTAGAACAATAATATAACTAAGAAAATAAATCTTTAGAAATATTTTGTAAGGGTTTGTAATTTCCGAACGTTGATATTCACAATTGCACTTGATCAATCTCTGTTGTCACAAATGTATCCTAAGTCGATTGCCTCAATATAGTTATTTTGTTAGTATAAGAGTTGTAGAGATTATTGAGTTTTTAGTTGAGATCATGAATCAATTGATGGTAGGCAACCATTGAAAACTTGAAAGCACTGAACGGTTGTTTCGCCCTATGGAAGGACTCCTCAGCAGTGTGCATCTACGATCCAGCTCATGGGATTCGAACCCAGGGCTTTCAAGTCTCGCGCGCAAACGTTTAACACCTTTAGACCACTGAGCCTGCATTCAACAGTGTTAATGTGTTATTGTGTCCTGTTTAGGACTGTTCAGCTAAATTTACCTGCAAACTAGTGATCGCTTTTCATTTTACGGATATAAACAATATGCGAAGTAGATGTTTTCGATAGCTGAATAATAACTCCAAACTCTTTGTTAAAATTCTAGTAATAATAACTAAAAAAAAGTACGTTTAAAACAAAGTACCTTCTTTAAGATTTGTATCAGTAATGTCCAATAAGTAGCACATAAACAGTATTGATAAAGAGTATTGAACATATATTTTAAGTTTGTTTGAATTTAACATAAAACCATATTTTGAATAAATAAAAACAAATAGTATAATTATATGCATTCAGATATACCTAACTGATATAATCCGAAAAGCAAATAATTAGTTAACTAGACAAACAATAAATGATCTACAAATTTTCGTTTAAATAAATAGTTATTTAAAGTAGTGAACGCACTACAATCTCGATCAGTTGAGATTAGTCAGTGATGAAACCATAACAACACGATATCCGTTTCTAATAGTATAATACAACTTTATCACTATAAATTTCAAATAGAATAATACTATTTAACAATGATGGATAGTGGCTAGCAGTGGAATCGAGGACGCGCGTTTCGTCCTATTTGGGACTCGTCAGCCAGATGTACCTGCATCTCAGAATTGATGTTCACTTCGGGACTCGAACCCAGTACCATTCGCTTCAAACGTCATCGCGTTATCCACTCAGCTACTGAGTCCTGATAGCCACTTGCTTACGCAATGGGATGAATTTAAATTCACTTGGTATTGTTTGGCTTGTAAAAAAAACTCAATGGGAAGATATAAGCCAAACAATACCAAGTGAATACTCTTTGACGTCTAGAGATATGTGCAAATTACGTCGAAATAATTGATCATAAGTGTTGTCACTTAAAAATCGTCACTAACTATCAAATATTTCTGTTATATTCCAAATAACCAGTGACTATATGAAGCGGACTGATCATCATTTGAAAAATGGATTATATAACAATATTTTTGGTCAGCAAATGGTATGAATATTTCTATTTAGCTAGAAAAATGTTTTAGTTATACAATGATGTTTTTGATAAGATTATTGTAAAACTACCCATTGGTAATACTGATGATTCATTTGCAAATAAACTCTTCTTTTGGATTAATTAAAATTCTATTTCTCCTGGATGACACTTAACTATTTATTTTGTTGTTACGATCAAATAAATATTGCAAGAATTATACATCTCAAGTTTTTTGTATTCTTATATTACATGAACTGGAGGGACAATATTATTAGGAAGGAAAATAGTTGAATGATATTTCTTGATAGACCACAACTAAACGTTGGATCAGATGAGCTTCCAGCAAAAGAAATTGGACTATTTTTTATATTACTTTCAACAAGGTGGGGATATTGTAAAAATTACTCAACCTTTAAACAAATTCATGAAATTAAAGTAAAATACTACTGAGCATATTAAATTTTATATTTACATTCAATCCAGGTTTCATAGTTTTGTTTTTGCAGAAGAGTTATTATTTGATAGTTAAATGACTTCTTTTAATTAATTCCATATTTCGATACTACTAATTACCACTTACTACTTATCAAGCTTTGCATATAATGCTTGTGAATTAAGGCTATATAGATGAAATCCGTACAGTATGCACATATGGTAATAAGAGGCTGATCAATTATAGTCCTAAATATCGATGAGAAAATTCAAACAAACAATACCAAGTGTACTTACCAAATGATTTGAATTTAATGACTGAACAAAAATTATATCACCCAAAACAGAAGCAATGTTTTCATACTCTTTAGAGTTGAAAATAGTCATCGTGTACTGAGCTGGATTAGCTAAATTATCCAACAATCTTATAACATTAGTTGATAATAAGTGATTTGAATTGTCAGTTTCACTTTGATCATTTCCTGATGGTTTAATAGAACTACTGACAGTAGTGGTATCAGTATTAGTAATATGTTTAATGTTAAGAGTATTTTCAATGCCTAAATGTTCTTCGATCATTTGTAACCATTCATTTAAGCGAGATAGAGCGGATTTAGGATTCCGTTTTGTAATTAACATTTCACTAAGTTGAACTTGACTATGAAAGGTAAACATAAAACACAGTACATATGTAGACAACAATTAGTGGCAGAGACAAAATAAAATGACACTTTTTCAATACGAGAATATCATAAACAAATTGCTCAAATTAGCCTTAAAAATATGCATCATTCCTTTAGTTAACACAGAATGAATACAAAAGAGCATATCCCATTTCCGAATTATATATCGGTGACTTTCCTTCAACACAACTCATAAACCATAGGTTGTGAAAATTTTATCGCGAAGATATATTCTTTATTTATTACAAGTATTCAATTCAGAATAAAGGTATAAAAGATGTGAACTTCAGGCTTCAAGAAGTACGCGTTTCATCCTATTCAGGAACTTATCATGGCTAAATTTATCTGCATCTTAGCGTTGATTTTCAAAATAAGAGAAAAATCAGATACGTGTCGCGTCAAGTGTTAGCCTATTATCCACTGGGCTATGGAGTCGTGACAGCTACCAATATGCTGAATGAGCGAGGTACTTATTTCAGCAAGATAAAATGCGTGTCCTGGAAGATTCCATCACCTGTCGGTGTCCAAAATAAAATCACTTTAAAATATGCAAGCGATATAGAACCATACGTTCAATGAGACAAAATACGAGTACAGATTGTTTAAATTCAATTCTGAACACTAACAATAGGACAAACTCTTACAATCTGTACAGAATGTTAGTTTAGCTGGTTTATTATCAAAGAAATTAAGTCATTTGAAGTTTTCATCTAGGATGTAGACCGACTTATATCACAATTACTACTTATTAAAATGAAAACTTAGTATATAAATCTAAGAAAAATATTTAGTACGAATTTCTGAAAACAAGTGGAAGCATACATGTCGACAGAATGAGAATTGTCTTCAATAATCAACGAAAAAGTTGGATAAGTTTACTATATCAAATCCATCCTAATGAATATTATATCAGTCAAATGGTACATATCGAGAATATATTAATTTCATTTTCTGACAAAGTTTCACTATTGTTGTTGTAATCAAATGAATCGACACAAATGGATAACAATGAGTGTATAATGAATAAAGATGGTTTTCCGATAAAATCTTCAATTACGTGTATCTGAAAAAGTACTGAGTGACAACAGTTGACCGATGTTTGGCCGTTTTTATTTAATGGAGTTTCAGACTAGGATGAAATAACCGTTCAATGTGTACCAGTTTTCAACGATCCCTCTACAAATGATTTCAGTTCATGATGAAATCTAACTTCAAGCTGAACATTCTCCACCACAGGCGATGATTGGTCCAAAACTGTCAAATGAATTGTTCGGTCGGATCATTTAAATCATTCAGGAGCACGAATCGAATTTAATTAAAATATTCTTCTAGCTTATCAATTAATAGTCAGTAGAACAACACGTTGACACTAATAAGCTTATGAACAATACGTAAGCAAAAAACTGAGAAAGAGTTTTCAGTAATTTGACTCTAATTAATCTTAACCAACATTTTTCAGGGTTCATTCAACATATTATTTATTAAGGAATTCCTTTTAATAAAGAATGTAATGGAAGAGTTATTATAGAGCAAAAATTAAACTACATTGTATTTGCTTCGCATTGTGTAGTCTAAACGCTGTCTAATTACCAGTATAAATTAATAATAGGGAGTAAAGTGTTAATCATAAACTCATTTATTTAACAAAGTATGTACCAATAGCATAACTTATCAACCATGCAATATACTTTGAGCTGAACCTACTTAGTGTGCACAAACAACTGATGTGTCTAAACATAAAAATGGTTGAGAGGGACTCGAAATGGTCAGTGGCAAGATAAAATTTACACACTTAAAAAATAACAACATTGATCGATTCACGATCTCAACTAAAAACTCAACACTCTCTACAACCCCATACTGATAGAAATCAGAAAGATTTGAATAACTTTTACATCCAAATACGAGACTTCATCTCTTCAGAAATAACTCATCACAACACCAGGAAAGTCAAAAATCATGGCGATCTCATTAAGTATATGTAAATAAATTAGTATCTAATCATTCACATTTCTTTAACAGCATTCAGTTTGTGATATTCCATTATCAATTAAGATCGATAATATCCATCTAATGCTCAAAAACTATATTGGACTTTATTAATGCTCAATTGTTTTCAATAATTATTTAGTTAGTTTTTTTTTATAAGAAAAAACAGCAACTTCAAATACATGAATCATGAAGGTTGGTTTCAACCAACTTGTAAACAGTAAAAAAATAAATACGGTACAATGTGTGTTTGTTTGTTTGTTTACTGAGTATACAAAAGTGTTCATTTGTTTATAAACTAAGAAACTTTTTAGTTCTTTTTTTCACAGTTTATCTACATCTCGTGCATAAATATACACGTGTAAAAGGCTAATTTTATTTATGTAACATGCATGTTTATGAAAAAAACCGTGAGATAATCATACAAAAATAACCTGTCACATATAAAACTTTAGGGAAAAACAAATAAATAAACAAAGAGAATTAGATGCAGTAATTAAACAAACAAAAATTCACATTCAATTAACACAAATACAAAATAAATAAATTTCAATAGTTGGGATCATGAATTTATTGAAAATAGACCATCATGGAAAACCTGGAAGTACTGGATGGCCGTTTCATCCTGTTATGGGACTCCTCGTGGATGCGCACCGCTGAGGAGTCTCACAATAGGACGAAACAGCCGTCCAGTGTTTCCAGGTCTTCTATGGTGGTCTAGTTTCAATTAACTCATGATCTCAGCTTTTGAAATTACTATAATATCCACAAAACCTTTACTGAAAATAAATAAATATTCATATGATATTCACTTATACAACACAATATTCTACTGGATTGAAATTTTCTCTTACCCATATACTTGAGACATTTACTACTAATATAATGGGGTCGTATAAAGATGGATTAGTTGAACTCACTGTAATAATAATAATAATAATAATAAAGATGTGAAAGGAAGAAATTGAGGTTGATATAGGAATATTAATATTGAACTAGCTGTCTGGATAATATATAAAACAATCGGTTAAATAAGACAATTGTGAAGAGAACTCTGAAGAGTTTAAACTAATGAAATGCTTTTAAAAAACTATATGACAGGTTAATTTCTTCTCATTGCTGAGATTCCAATACAAGAGCGAAACGGTCGTTAAGTGCTGACAATTATGGTCTAACATTGATCGATTCATGATATCAGCCTAAACTCAACAATCTTCACAACCCTATACTGATAATAATTTAATGCTTAGATTAAAAAAAGTACAAGTTCAAATTATTAACATTAATACAGATAAAAATCAATAATAGTTTGTTTTCGATCTCGACAAAATTCTTCACGTGAACTTAATTACTGCTTAAGGTACACAGCTAGCAGATTACAGGTTGAACTTCCGTTCCACCTGACTTGTTTAGAACAGTTGAATAGTATCACCAGGACATATAAAAAACGATGTGGTTTAAAATGTAAACACAATGTGTTTAAAAGACCCCAGTATTATGAATTAAATAATCCTTTATTATTCTGCAATTACAAAAACATTCAATCATTTTACAACTATCTGTGTAATTCAGACATCAATCTTTTTTTTCATGTGAACTCATCGCGTTTTCAGATTCTCCTACGTGTAATAACTCTACCATGGAGACAGATGAGCTGATGCGTCTGTATGCATAAATATTAACCGCCTTAAGTTTAATTAAGTGTGAAGTTATTAGTATGCTTCAAATAGTTAACCAATAACCTTCAATATTCAACGCTTCTTCGACTCATGTCAGTTTGTGATAAAGAATAATTTCAAAGTGAGCATAATCTTCACGACATCGTTACATAACATTTGATTAATAATAAACACCATATATCATATCAGTTAAAGTGGACATCTATTCCATCTTTAATATAACTATGCACTAAAATGACTTACAATTATACTGAGTATGAAGCCTGAATAAACTTTCCTCTAATGAATCATAGTACAATTCACTAGAGATAGGCTTGACAGCTGTTCCATCATTGATCATGATGCAGTTGTGACCTTAGATGGTTTAACGTATAAAAGGTTCTACGTTAATCAAAATTATAATAATGCATTGGTACTTTCTAAAGCAAAATACGTAACATATTTCAAACTAATGGAATATTGGGAGCCTTCCACATTTTCTTGAAAAGGGTTTCAGACGCTTAGAAAATATTCAGTATATTTTGTTTAGTCAGGGTTGTTTAGGACCTCTCGAGAGAATTTTAGAGAACGGTTGATTTCTTTCATATCCTAGTTCGATACTTACCAACTTTTTAATTAGATTTGGCTGACTTTTAAAGGCTTCTAGAATGTCAACGTCACATGTAAACACATATAGTTTTGTCTACATTAAAAATACCTTCGAATTAAAACTGTATTCACACTACTTCTTCTCTTAATTTATGCTCGAATTTTGAAAGTTAAAAACTAGGACACAGAAAGTCACTGTTTAAATGTTCAAGTACAAAATGCATCAAAAAATACGAATATACATAATAGACGGTGATTGTTAAATTGATTCTTACCACTTCGACAGACGTTTCCCATAATTTCCTTTGACAAGTTGAAGTTTTTCAAGCATCTCATTTAGAATATTCTTTTCTGGATCTGTACATGTACAACGTTCACGTAGATTACTGCCCATTCTCATCACCAAATGATAATCCGATTGTTGTTCATGAAATTCTCTATGCTATGAAAATATGTTAAATAAAAAGTTAGGAATGAAATTGTTAATAAATATTTTCAAACTACTAGCTATGTGTAGTATTTAGGCATATGTATCAAGTTAAACACATAAGATATAGTTTCGGTGATACTAAGTTACATATAAAACACAACTATCATCGTTTTTGTACAAACTAAAACGATGAGTTAGTATAGTTTAGAACATTTTGGATTGGTGTTCAGTGGAAATTCAAACCGGTTTTATCCGTATTAGAGTTTGTTGATGCTTGTTTTCTTATGCAATGAAACTATGGGGTCTCACTTTCATGCATATGATCATTAAATAAACAACGATAAGTTTTATTTTCAGAAGTTGGAGTTCATCATTCACCTCTATATTATTAATTCAATTTGGAGTCGATAAAAACAGTTACATTCTTTATACTAACTAGAATTTATAAACTGAATTACATAATAATATTTTTATTATCCATTTAGTCTCCTTTCTAACAAGTCTGTTATTCATAAGATCGATTTTTTGTTGTTGATATTCAATAATGAATAAGACTATTCCTTATAGGTCTGTATATAAATCATTCAGACTGGTATCATTTAGTATAGTAGTCATTTATGTTATTAATGAAGTGAACGGGTCACAAAATAATCTTTAGTAGGATCAGATCAGTTGTAAGAAATAAAGAACAACTGTATCAAACGTGATATATGTTAATGTTATCTTACTCAAATAGATATAATACGAAGTTGGTCAAATGGACTGTATCAGCCCTAAGGACAATGAGAGGTTAGTTACTTTTTAGTAAATGAATGAAATTCGTTAAAGATTATGCTAAAGAAATGAGACTTTTTTCTAAATGTAATCAGATAGTATCTGTCTCAGTGACAATTACTATAGGAAAATCAAGATATTTCTTTTTTTAAAAAAACACATTGTTTTCATGATTAACAGCTCAGATATCATTTTCATAACTGACAAAGAATAAGTGGACAGCATTCCTGTTGAGTAATGATACTATGAAAATGTGGTCTATTAGATGTCTTAGTCAAAATTAATTCGTTTGTTATTTATAAATCATTTGCATGAAGAAATCTTAATGGTATTTACTCTTCTATTATCGTCAGTCCCAATCGTAATAAACGGAAATTTTTGTTACTTATTCAGATAAACAATTCGAGATCATTTTAAATCTAAACACATTTTAATCACAAACTTGTTTAGTTTAAATAATTGGACAAAAATGACAATTCTCAACACTATACGGAAATATCAATAAAGCATGTCCTCATAAATTGCCACCATCATAACAATCCTTTTCAATTCACGGAGTTAATATTACATCAATCTAAGATGATACAGAAACGCGTTGCTTTGTTGTGGCTTAGCTTCGTTAATCAATCACCTTGATAATTGTTATTATATAAATCCCAACGGTGTTTGAAATCAGAAGGCAATAAGAAGTGGCGGCTACAGTTTATTAGCGGATAGCACGGATTACAAAACTACAAGCACACTAAGCTAGTTTTGAGCAGAGAGGCGAATGTGTGTATACGAGCAAATACAGAGGAAAATGTATAGTCAAACCGAATAAGGTGCAACTAGGCAAGGCAAAGGCTAATAATAAGATTCGAGTACATATAAACATGGGAAAGAGAATGATTCATCGAGCGATATTTAAGCTATTAACACTTAATCTAGATGGATATATGCGTAGGCTGTCATACGATCGAGAGTATACGTTTATACAGACAAGACGGTGATCATAATAGTACAAAGAAATATGTGAATAGTTACTGTTCGAATAACATTGTCTGTTAAGTAAATAAATAAAAGGGTTTAACAAAATTTAACCACAATCGAAATTGATTGTAGAAGAGCTGCTATAGCTTCCGCATTCATCTTACATAATCTGAATGAAAAATGATAGATCTATGGAAAAACAAAGATATTGTTCTACTAAATGAGGGTGTATCCTAAATTTTCTAGAAAGCTAAAAATTATATTTCATTTCAATTTCTGAATAATCGTAAGACAACTATTAAATTGATATTAAACTTACCAAAGTTTTAAGTGACAACTGACTGTTTTCATCATATACTGTACGTGTTTCAAAGGCCTCAAGTATCTCCAGTTTGGTTAAGAACCAGTTCAATAAACTATAATACGCTACATCAAACTGAAAATGTTTTTAAAAACACATGTAAAATAAAAGAGATTATAAGAAAACTTTTTCACAAATACAATGATCAAGTAACTTTTAGTACATCGGAAAGGGATGGTTTTGAGTGGAAAGTTATCGTGCAGAAAACAATCGTACAAATCTGTAAAAGGTTTGGAAAATGTATGAACATTGCTTTACAAACCATTATGAACAATGTAACAATAAGCTACTGTTTTGTTTGTCATAGGTATAAACATGTTATCTCATCAGTAGATAAATACTAATCATCAAAAACTTTTGGCTTGAATCATACAGTGATTCAGACGTTTTCAAAACCGCAGTAGCGCCGTATCAAAAAACTAGAACATATATTTTACAGATAAGAAATGGCAGTCTAAAAGTATGTACCACAAAAGTATTTCCTATTGCTACTGTAATCTCTGTATAACTGGAGACTTCAGTGAACATTGCTCTATCGAAATAAAATTACTCTTTTAATATTAATATAAGTTACATAATAGTTATCACTATCGATTTTAATTCCTAGTTTTGTGATCTTAACACAGCAGTGTTCGCAACAGCTTTAAAGACATAATCATGGTTAGAAAACTAAACAACACAATTTTAAATTAATTCATGACCATAACGTGAAATGTATGGCTTATCGGCCTAGAGAAAACTGTCAAGCAGTAAATCGTAAGCCTCAATCCTATTTAACCACCCTACGGTTTATACAATTACCTAGTATAGGTCATTTTAATATACGTTTATAGTCACAAGTTACTTACCTTAGTATCTTCTTTCAATGCTTGAGTAAGAATTTTTCGCCGTTCTATTGCTCGACGCATGAGACTTGTAAAATTGTGTTTCATTGTATTAATAGTAGCTACTGTTTGTGATACTTCTATAGGATGACATAGAGATTTGATTAATGGTAAAGAATTATAAAGATTAATTGCTAATCTTTCATGTGTTTTCAGTTGGTGAATAGCATTCTATAAAAATAAAGCGTTATAAAAACGATTAGTATTAGTGCTATTAGAAGTAAGATCAATTTCCAATAAACTGTAAATATATGTATCTGTAGTGATTAAAATAGATGAATAACAATATTAAAGGTGAATTACTCCACCACAGGAACAATCAATGTGTCCATGAGTAAACGGAACATTATGTAAATATCATTTCTTGCTTTAAATTAATTCGTGAATATATTTAAATCCGTTTATAGTGGTCTAGCTTCAACTGACTCATGATTTCAACTATTGAAATAAATATATACTTTTTTGTTGTGATTTGAGTAAAAAAAATCATATTTCTGACGTTCCTTGACTTGGTGTAGACCACTTCGTCAGAGTAAATAAATAACCAAAAGAAAATTAACATAGGTTTACATAATTCCTATGTACTACTTCAACTTGTGTTAATTTAAGCCGGTTATTTATAAGTCACAAAATATCAGAAATAGAATTTTCTACTCATTAGGACGTTACAAAAAAAAATTCTTTTTTAACTCTCTAACAAATACTCAGTTTATTTGAAACTATCAAGTCCAACCTAGGCATTAATGCCTACAAAAAACTTTTATAGTGGAGTAAAGTTCATTCTTCAAGATAACATCTTGATTGGTATAAGCCCGAATTTCAATATCAGAGAAGACTAGAGTATTCAACCTTCAAATACCTGACAACTCAATATAGTGCATGAGATTTCGAGCCACTAAGATCAGTGAGCACATATCTGTCTGACCGATAGAATTAGATCAACACTAAAAAGGACTAAATATTAGTCACTACTCAATTGTCAGTTAATTGGAAATATCTCATTCCTATAAGAGGTCAGTTCAAAATTAAAGAACTCAACAATAAAGTATCACATTATGAAACTTGGTGACTAAGGTTTCGATCCCACATAGAGCATCGGTTCCCATCAAAATAACATGTTGACCTTTCTAACTAGTACTAACTATCATGAAACCTAGATACAGCGTTTCTTACTACCTACTTCCAACTACTTTACTCTAACAATGTTTAACAATATATGATATATGGAACATTCACTAGCCAAACCTACAGATATTTATACATAAGCAAAAATAAATCACTATAAAGCAACGTTAAAATAAAACTGAATTGTTTATTTATTTATTTAATTTATTTAAACACATAAACTTTGGTACAAGGAGGCACCAAATAGATATGCGCCACATAAACCATTCGGTTTGTTTGAGGGCTGTGATACTGCCCGGATGTCCAGACCGAGGCAGGTGGTTTTCTTAGAGGGTCACACCCCGAGCCTTTGACCTAATGGTCTAACCCACAAGGCAGTGGAGCATCGTAAGGAGATGCAGTCTCATGGTAGCCGGTGACCAACGATTGGTTCATACGCCATTTTTTCGCACAGGATACTGTAGCCCATGTGCACCATTGGTTTATAATCCAGTTAAAGCACCGGACATTCGCTTTTCGTCCTCTCAATTTCGTAAGCAACATCCCCGCCACGAGAAGGCAGTGAGTAGGACTTCCCTGGCGAGGCTGTATACGCGTGGCCGTGTGAGAGCACTTCGAGAGGGAGGGCGAGCCCACCCCACTCTCGGCCATACCAAGGCATTTAGGGGCTAAATCGGATGTCGCTGCCAAGATGTATTATGAAACTTGGCGACTAAGGTTTCGATCCCATAGAGAGCATCGGTTCCCATCAAAATCACATGCTGACCTTTCTAACTAGTACTAACTATCATGAAACCTAGATACGGTGTTTCTTACTACCTACTTCCAACTACTTTACTCTAACAATGTTTAGCAATATATGATATATGAAACATTCACCAGATAAACCTACAGATAAATAAATCACTATAAAGCAACGTTAAAATAAAACTGAATTGTACTAAAAGTATTTAACATTACCTTTACACTATTTAATTGTTCTGTACAACATCCAACTAATTTTGATGGTCTATAAAGTTTTGATAAACTACCATGAATTTCATTAAATAATAATTGTAATTGTTTTCTATTTATGATAAAGTATTTTATAAATTTCAAATGAACTTTCCATAATTTCATTGATTCTATACTTTGTAATTGAAATTTTATATATTGTCTTAATATACGTAGAATAGTTAATTCTAAATGAGATTTAATCTTCTTGTTGTTTCTTAATGATAATAATGAATTTTGATGATATAATTCATTGAATATATTCATATTATTGAAAATGTAATCTTCAATATTTGTGAATAAAGTTTTGTCTTGTTTAAAAATATCATTGAATATTGAATTAGGTAATTGTTTTATTAAATTATTTATACGTAATTTGTTTTCATTGAGTGATTTTAAATTCCAATCCTGTTTGTTGATAATAGTAATAATAATAGTAAACGTGAAACGAAAAGATGAGAGAAATAAAATAGGAATTATATATAAACATTGAGTTATTTAACTATAATAAAACTACGTAGAGAACTAGAACAAGTGTGGAATTTTGAAGTTACAATCTCTGAGTTAGATGGATTCTTTTTAAAGTTTTCGTTGTCGGTCTGAATAATATCGTATGCAGAAAATTCCTTGATACAGGACATGAAGTTGATGCATTGAAGTTGTTCAACATGATTAACAAACAATCAAACACAAACCTTTTGAAATTTGCCGAAGGGATAGCAATCAAACGTATAAAACCAGATCTATGTATACAAAAAGAAACAGTAATAAATCTTTCTTTGCCCTGGTAACATTGACCCTCCCCCCTTTTATTTATTACGTCATTCACTATTGCAACTCTTTCTGAGTTTTTAAAATTACATCATTTATAACTGACTGATTTCAATTCATATCTTTCTTTATTACCATTAATCTATTTTCAGTTGCTTCATTACATAATCATCTAATGATAGTTAACTCCATGAGTTCTAAACACTATTTCAATGTTCTGAAACCTTCCCTCTCAAACTTTATTTATTCGAAACAAAATTTTATCACCTCATTAACTCTATCGGAATCTTCGCTACATCATGATACATATATTCATCCTTAATCACCCTCTTATGTATAAGTATGTCAATATCTATAATAACTTTCAATTTTAAATGTTTTAGGTTGTAAGTAACTGATGAGAACCTAACGAAATAAAATGAATTCATATTATTCTGCACCAATCTTTGTTATTGCTCTATTTAAAATAATAAAGGGAACTATGTGTAAGAAAATTCTTTATTAATCACATTTTTAATGATGGAAAAACTATTATGGCTAAATGTTAAGTTATACTTGAACTTTAAGTGACTAGATTAGTGACAACGTTTAAATGTTTAACAATGTAAAATTATCTTTAGTTAAAGTTCATTGTATTAATTCTACAATAATTATCCTTATGCATGTACTATACAGATTACTGGAAATATTTGAGTGGTATAGGAACTAAATGAAGCTTTTACCCCATCAGAAATTCAAACTACTATCAGTACTAGTGTAATCATGAATATTTATGTTGTGATATGATTAACTTAGATTTTGGTCAACATAAAAGACGTTTATTGATTACCAGCTAACTAGTAGTGATCATATATATAACAGACATAAGCACTGAGGTCCCAGATAGACATTTTAAGTTTAAATATACAACATCAAAATATTGCACTGAGGTGGGATGGCAGAGAAGATTTGTAGCTCAGATAGATGATTTGGGTGAAGTTTTGTTCTCTAAGCTGATAGAAGTTTGTGCCGATGATGCTTTTTAGAAGAACAATGAAAGCTCCACGACCAAACCATTCAGCTCAGAGAACAAAACCCCACCTATTTTGAGGCGGAGTATTTGAAAATTCACAATAAATTTACAAAATTAACTGATTTGCTAAAAAAAGAAAAGAGCCTACCTTAAATTCTTTCCACGTACTGTTCACTGTATCCAACGTTAAATTATTCGGTTTAGCAAGTTTTATTAACTTATCATTCAGTTGACTTAACCAAACAGAGTAAGCAGTAATTGAAGATTGTAGTTTATTTTCCTATAAGATGAAAGAAAGAAATTACTTAATGTTTATTTCACCAACTAAATACGATTTCAATATAGTGAGAATTCTCATCTTGACATTTGGTAAAAAGAACGAATCGAACAAAGAAATTTCTTTTCAAATAGTTTCTCATCATGGCTCTATACTAATATTATATATATATATATATATATATATATATATATATATATATATATATATATATATGTATGATTTACAACAATGAAATAATACTTATAGAGTAGCTGAGTTACATAATAATTATATTAAGTAATTAGAAGAAAGAGGATTATGATAATCAAAGTAATTATTCGGAAAATCATACAGTTGCAACGTTGCATAATATATAAAAAGTAGGGACTAACAAAATATTTTCATAAAAGGTCAGTGTTATAGTAGTTCTGTAAGAATCAATAGACGAATGTTGAGAATATGTAGAATACAAAACCTTTCATTGATCTCAGCTGTGAAAAAAATTGGAAGAAACTAGAAAGTGATCTTTATATTTTTGAAAGGGTTCAATCAAAATTCAACGGAAAACGCACTTCTATACCAATGATCAAGGTAGAGATAATGGTTGTGCAAGTACTGTTTATTGTTATACTAGACAATGTGGTGTGGATATTGCCATCAAAAACGTAAACCTGTGCATATTATATATATATATATATATATATATATATATATATATATATATATAATCGCCATGCGTGTAGTAAAAGAATAACGATTATCACAACGATAATAAATGTCATCACTATAGACAACAACATACATAGTGCAAATTTTTAACGGATCTGTAGATGTTGTGTTCATGAGGAAAAACGTCGGCATAATGATGTGTAAACATTTTTTTAGAATGCTTATTCTAAATAATTACAACAAACACGCTTACAAAATGTTTCATTGCTATCCGAATAGCTGCTTGCTAGTAGTCAAAAAAAATTGAAAAGCATAGGAAATGGATGTAAACTGCACGTAGGTACTTCTTCAATGTTGGCGTAGCAGTTTAATAAGATTCGGGTTTGAAGTACTGATTTACAGTAGCTTAGTCTATGTTAAAATGATTTTTATAACTGTTTGACATTGTAAAAACATTAGAAGTTACATAAAGTAAAGAATAGAACTTTTTCCTCACATTGAGGCTCTTCAGTAGTCCTGAATTTCACGATCTGAATCCTACAAATATTGTCAAATTCTGTTGTCACATGGCTAAGATTGAAGATTCTAGGGTCACAAGTATGGACTACTAAGATTAAATTTCATTAAAATGTGATCAACTGTTATTTAATTTTTAAATTCAATTCATATACATACAACAATGAAATTCTCATCAACAGGAATTCCAAAAGATGTTCAAACATTTATGATAAGATTATACGATAACTAAATCCATTAAAACACTGAGTAATATTTCGACAGTTTTACGAAGATATATATATATATATATATATAATTTCCATCCTGAATCGACAATCTCTGAAAAATCATTGAAAATTATAAAACAATGGGGAGCTAGTTCATCTTGGTTTAACACTTAAGAAGAACCTAAAATCATCAGGTCACGCGATGAGTACGATACCGTTGAGCCGTCAATAAGTTGAAATATGAAAGTTAACATTTGGAACACCAATCGCATTTTAGGATGGATCCCTATGTTCACCCTCTGTTATCAACGGTGTTAGTAAATCATTTACCACTTGGTTTAACTCACATGTCACAGTTTCTCCGAAGGAACTAGAAGCAGATTGTTGTGGTTTATAGAAAATATTTGTGCGAATGTTGTGTAATATGTCAACGGTTTACAAACCACCGGATTTATTCAAATGACATCAATTTTTTGACAATCAATAAATAAATACTAACGTTCTAAATTAGTCTAATATCAATCCTACAATTTTTGACATTGGTTATATTTTAGTTATTCAAAATATCAACACATACATATGGTGGAGAAGATTTGTAGCTCAGGTGGATGATTTTGATGGAGTTTTGTTCTCTGAGCTGGATGGTTTGATCGTAGAGCTTTCAGGTAAAAGTTTGTGCTGATGATGCTATTTAGAAGAACAATGAAAGCTCCATGACCAAACCATCCAGCTCAGAGAACAAAACTCTATCAAAAACACATACATATCTATCTAAGATCAAAATGTGAGAAAAGATAAGAAGCACTCCGTAAAATACTTTTGGCTCCTACTCTGTAATCATGATTTATTGACTTTTCAGATACATAAAATAATCATATCAAACTCGATAATTCAAAGACTAATATTATTCAAGAGACAACCTTGAAATTATCTGTACCGTCTTAAGAAATATCGTGAACCTCTAGATGATGCAAATTTCCGAATAGAATGGAAAATTACTTGTATAACACACTACAACAGATCACGTCGGGCTCACCAATTATGTGGTGGTCGGTATTCGATATAATCCTTAAACTTCGTATACAGTTCGTCTTGATAATCATCCTATATTACACCCCAAGCATTTATTCACTATGCTAATCTTACTACTAACCACTTATTTGATTCGATGACTCATTCATTTCACTATGTATATATATGTCCATGTTATTCATATTCATTGCTCTCTCTCTCTCTTGCTCTCACTCTCGTTCACTTAATTGTACGCGCTTGCTCGTATTCATATTCGCTGACTCCTCGCTCGCTTGCTTGCTTGCATTTCAGCACAACTCTTCTATGCTTGTTTAACGCATCTGTAATTTTGGATAGGTGTGTATGGTCCCGTAATAAGCGTAATCAACACTTCGTATTCGCCTTCTGATTAATATACCGTTGGGGCGTTATATAGGACGGTTATCAAGACGAACTGTATACGAAGTTTAAGGTTTATATCGAATACCAACCACCACAACACTCATTGTTCTCCAATATTTATTTGGACGGATTTGAACTTTCTAATAACCTTGAAAAATATTACTAAGTTGTCAAAAAATATTTAATGTTTGACTGGACAACTAAATAAACCACCATGAATACCAAATAATGGAGTGCCCAATTCCATAATTGGATATTAAAATTATTTTTCAGAAAACTCACCTGATTTATTTTATTGATCAGTTCAGTTTTCTTTTTTGTTAAATGGTAAGATTGTTGTTCAATTTTCAGTTTCAATTGTTTTACATCAATCTCGATTTTTATTTTATCAGTAGTTGTAGTAGTAGTATTATTATTAGCAGTAACAGTATCGAAGCAACGATCATTTGAAATAGTTTTAAGTAGAGTTTGTATAGATTTTAATTCATTATGCCACATCTGTAATGAAAATAATAACAAGAATCTTAGAACTTAGAATATTGTTCAACTGTCTAGAGATTAAAATTAAGTGGTATTTGTTAACTACATTATATGTATACCGCGTAATATAACACATCGATTACAAATCTATGCACTCGTTTTTGAGCTATACACATTTTATTTGAGGAATATATATATTAACCGACTGTCTAAACCGAAGCATATGAAAAGCGGTTCCAATATATAATTCAATAACTGAAACTCAAATCATTTGATCAGAAAACCATTGTAAAAAAAGCGTCTCTGTATCGAGTAATTAGTAACACTATGTTTCCGTATTTTGACTGTTTTGAAGGTATTTGTCTGATTTTGCATTCTGGAATCAGGTTCCCTATTCAGTGTACTGGTTTTTAGTTTATTTGTTCAAAATGATTTCTTATCTCATTCATAGTCATAAGTGAAAGGCATGGATAAACTGGTTAGTAGAGATTTGATTTTTATTGTTGAAACTGAAGCATATGCACTGCAGTATAAGTGACATAGCAATATATTAACGTTCATCATGTTGAGTTTAAACAACATACTGTTTACTAGAGAATGATATTATAAATGGTTTGGAGTATTTGACGTATTCTGACTTGTACTCCTAACTAAAAAAGCACTATATAATCTTACTCCACTATTCATGCAATTACTTTTTCGTGAGAAGTATTCAAACAATAAATTTCGTAACACTAATTTTATCAGTAACAAACACCCATACATTCTGTTATGTCAGAAATAATTTTGTTGAGACCATGAATCGATCGGCCCACCATTGAGAACCTGGAAATACTGAGCGGTTTTTTCTTCCACAGTAGTCTGCACCCACGATCCCTTGCGCGAGAACGCTTAACCACTGAGCAGGCATCCAGCGGTGTTGATGTCTAACTTCAACCTATCCACGAAATCGCGCGACCGTCTTCGATTGTCTTCGGTGGGTGACTGTCTCATAACCTGCACGGATTAGCTCCACCGCTCACGGCCCGAATCCCTCGCGTGGGCTCGTGAGTGAGCACTGATGAGGAGTCTCATACTAGGATGGAATGGCCGTCCAGTGCTCTCAGGTTTTAAATGTTGGTCTAATGTTGATCGATTCATGATCACAATCAAAACTCAATAACCTCCACAACCTTGTGCTAAAAATAATTTTATTTTAAACAATTTAATTCTATCATAAGAATATTCATTTAAAACAAATTTCATCATACCTCTAGAATTTTTACTTTCGTCCAGTTATTTAAATATACGTTTTTTACAAGGGATAAATTGTTTTCTGTACAATGAACAGGCAATTCTTCTTCGTTTATCAAACAATCTTTTACAAATCTCTCATCTAAACAACTGAATTCATCTAGCAAATTTGACAATTCATTTAGAACTGTTGAAATCTGATTTGTTTCAATGAGTCGATTTCTTATAGCTGACTGGGAAATGGAAGGAAAATGCAAATAGTTAAGGTTTTACAGAAGATAACTCGTTAATTTTTGTAATGACAGGTACCGCATTCAAGCCTTATTGTAAGCTTAAACACTCGAAGTCAGGTAAATCCAATGATGAGTGTCAAATAGGACAAAACGCTCACCATGTTAGCTGTAACCCAACATTAATAAAAGTGTTTAACTAGGTGTCAGTATTGTGCAAGTACGCTGATGATGCACGTATACAAACACAGACTGATCATTTGGAGTTCTTTACATCAACAGTCATAAAATGCAAAGCCCTATAAATAACTTACGTATTTAAATTTACTTAGTATTGTTTGGTTGAATCTTCCCATTGATGTTTAGGACTGCATTTAAACAGTTTCTTATTGGCACATGTGCATACTGTGCGTATTGCCTCAATATCGCCTTCACTCACAAAAATTATAAGCTGAGATGATGATGGCTAGCAGTGGAATCTAGTTTGAAGCGCGTTCCGTCCTATTTGGGACTCGTCAGTTGGATGCACCTGCTTACGTGTTTGTTTAGAGTAAAATTATGCCTAAACATATAGCAATTTAATAAAAAGACTAAACAGATAGGGGCTGTACTATTGTAAGATCATATCGTAATTCTAAACCGAGTCATTTCCAATCTAGATCAATCAGTATAGTAAAATTTTACAGTGCAATGATGATCACAAAACGGGGATTAATAAACATATATATGTTTTCATACTCTCCCCTTGAGCCAGGTATACTGAAGTGAAGCGGGTTTCAAACTTGTAACCTGTTTGTTATCACTACCACTGAAAAAAAGTGAATTAGAACTTATCAAGTTGAGTTGATTCATAAGACATCTCAAGTAACACTTAACTGATCAAAATGGAAAGTAATCTCTGACTGGTAAAAAGCAAAATGCATAAAACATCTACTTCCGAAATTTTCAGTACATTATCTAAAAATAATTTCTTTTTATAATAATACATACCGTAACTAGGATCTCTCAGTCTTTCGTTAACGTTCGTTGTAGATGTATATCGACACACGAGTATTGGTATTTCATGTGTTATGAGTGTAAAAGATGAATACTAACTTAACATCAATGTATACAACTAACTTACTAGATAAACAGATGATTCTGTAAGAATGTTATTAAAATCATTTATAATTGTCATTATTTTCTGTTCAGTGTAATGAATAACTGATCCATTTAATGAAGTTTCATATTTACATTTATTGAAACAGGCGAAAAATGTTTGTTCAATACGATCGATTTTATTGTCTGATGTATAGTCTTCACTTAAATGGAATATTACATCTTTGAATTCATTGAAGTCATTGAGGATACACTGAAACATTGGTAGCTGAGAGAAAAGTTCAAGTCGATACAGCTAAATTGAAGAAAGAAAAAAAACCCGTGAAATCCCATATAATTTCAATAGGCATGATTTCAATTACAGACTAGGAATATAACAAATTTCATTAGGAAAACGTAATCTATTTCATTGCAACAACTTATGAGAGTAAGATGCCATGCGATAATTTCACGACTTTAGCAGTAACAGCTTGTAAAAGCTACCCATTTAACTTATAAAAAAACAGATTGGTATTGTCTATAACTCACTGAATGCGTTATATCCGGAAGTTGCTGTTATTTTCCCGTTTATTAATGAGTACTACATGTTAGAGTACCATTTTCATAGACTTGATTTCAATTCCTATATATATATGGGTATATATATATATCTTTTTTATATAAAATGAAGAACTGAATTACACTGGACATGTCCATACAAGACAGATGGAGATAACCTCAACCAAAAAATATATCAGAAGGTTGTGCTTTTGTTCTTCGAAGTAAACTGACATGAATGTACAATAGAGAGTGTAAACACTTAATGCAAAACACTAACAACATTTAAGCAAACAGCTGAGGTTATTCGTAAGGAATGTATAAGCAAAGATCCTTGAAACAACCTTGCCGAATAAGTGGACATTATTAGGTTCCAAGCAGAAATGGATGGTGACTAGCAGTGAGATCCAGGACGTGCGTTCCGTCTTATTTTGGGACTCGTTAGATGTTCACTCTGGGACTCCAACACAATATCGTTTGCTTCAAACGCCATCGCGTTTTCCACCAGGCTATTGAGTCCTGATAGCCACTAGCTTGTGCAATGGGGTGAAGTTTAATTCACTTTGTATTGGTTGTTTGGATCTTCCCATTGATATTTAGGACTGCAATTGATCAGCCTCCTATTGATATATGTGCATCCTGTGCGGATCGCCTAGATATTACCTTATGTCACAAGCATTATAAGCAGAGATGGAGTAAATATCAACTCTGGAATGCAGGTGCATCCAACTGACGAGTCCCAAATAGGACGAAACGCGCTTCAAACTGGATTCCACTGCTAGCCATCATCATCTCAGCTTATAATGTTTGTGAGTGAAGGCGATATTGAGGCAATACGCACAGTATGCACATGTGCCAATAAGAAACTGTTTAAATGCAGTCCTAAACATCAATGGGAAGATTCAAACTACCAATACAAAAATGAAATACCAAGGTCTGTTCAGTGTGACAGCATAACTGTGCTACTAATATATATACGATAATCTTGACTTACGGTTACATCATGTAAATGTGAGCACAGATCATTATTGCCACTTAAATTAGCTGACTTAACACTTAGGTGTTGAAATTTCACTTTCAATTTGGTCATTCTAGGATGTATTACCTGGAAAACAGAAAAAACAAGATGAAAGCACATAAACATTTCTATGTGACAATTGTAAGTGTACAAGTAAACATTTTGGCACAGAAATAAAATTCTATGTTTGATGCGGAGGAACAAATTGAAATCTCTGAAGGCAGGTTAGGCTATTTTTAGTGAATGATACACAAGAATACTACAAAACTGAGAATGTTTTAAACAATTATTAAATTACGTTTATGTCGTATTAAGTTTTTTTCTTTACGCGTGGGGTCATGATAAAAAAGTCTTACTATCGTCTAATGTTTCTTCCTGAAATTTTAAGAAACTTCGTAAAAGCGCCCCACCAATCTATTTAGTTACGATCAATGTAGGAAGTAAGAACATATATTCATCTGCTCAAGGAGATACGTCATATCAGAATATCGGGAAAAAATTAAAAAGATGAATATGGAAGGAGTCAAAGTAATGCTTATTTTAATGATGATAAAAAAAGACTGCATATGAGAAATATGGCTCGAAATGAAGGAATTAATTTTCAGAATGAATAATTATAACAAAGACTCCAACCCCATGGTCTGTATCAACAGAGAGGGTTTAGTCTAATGGTCAATGAATTCATGGGCTAATGACAATTTTCTTCACTGAGAGAGAGAGCTTCATCCCGATCCAATCTAAAACTATCCAGTATTATGTGTAAGGGTAGACACAAACTGAGTGGTATAACAAACAATCTGGATTTTATTAATATTTATTCATGATTGTTCGATTAAAAAGGTATTTAACCCAATGAATAAACACAAGTATCAGTTAAATAATTCATCTATACTTGATCTTATCAAATGAAAACTGGTTTATTTTCATTTTCTGTAGGAAACAAAAATTTCACAATCCAACTTACTGATAACCATATACCAAGACGTTGTGATAATTCATAACTAAATAATAGTTCTTCACGTTGATTTTTTATATGTTCCAGAAAATTGATCACTTCATCATTTACCTTAGTTTGTTCATACCATAAAGGAATATTAAAATATGTTAGAGATATGTTATTTTGTTCAGAATTTATTGAATCTACCAATTGGTTATTTTCGATATGCGCAATTTCAGATGGAAATATGTCATTTTCATCATCAAAGTTAAAATTCTGTAGTAAATAACGACCTGGATTAGTAGAATTTGTTTCATCAGTTAATTCTTGAAGCTTGTCAATTACTTGCTAATAAAGAGAAGTTGAGAAAAAAACACATAGACAAAAGAAGCGACAGTTAATTACTTTATTCAGAGATTTGAAGTAAGATTACAACACTAGATTGTATTAAAGATGATTAATATCACTAAGTTTTACATAACGAAGAACACCTTGGGGTTCAATTCCATCAGAGAATAAGAAACAATATTTCTGAACTTAGATATGCAGGATAGAATAAAACACACCATGGTTCGGTTAAAGCTTCTTTTGAATGTAATTAGATGTAGAGCCGTGGTACTGAAAAATGACATCATATGAAGTTGTTATTGAAAGCTTAAACAACAATACTGTTTGTTCTAAGTGAATAAACATGTTGACAATAGCGATTGTCGATATACATGTATTCAAGGAATAAATAATACTCTATTCTCACTTCACCATGGAACAATTTGACAGATCTTATTAGTATTGAACATAACCTTATTCAATACAATTCTCTAATAAACGCTCAAGTTTATTCAGAATAGAGACACATTCGAACAGAATCACACAAAAATCCGTATTAAAGTACACTGATTTCATTTCAGAAAATCCTAGAAAGAGTAAAATCATTAAAATAAGAAAGATATTAAAATGAACAAATCCATGAAATTTTGATAGTCGCTAGACTGATATCGATTAAGTAATCCAATATTAGTAGTTCTTTTGAAAGATTTTTATCATAAATCATGAATTTCAATAACTATAATACCAATTCAAAACTTTCTTTTTGCTGGAATTATAATGGTTCTTCCTTTTTTTGAATACTTGACGGAATATCAGCACATTCTTTAGTTACAGTAACAAACTTTTATTAAAGTCAAAATTAATAAGAAGCCGGATAAACAGTTTCAACAAAACAAGTACGTCTATAAATATAAGTGAACTAATAAAAGAATTATTCTGACTGGAATAAGGTTTTTGGATGAAGTCTGATACAACGCTGTAGGTTCAATTGATTTAGGGAAAACTAATGTACTACTCGTCCTATTAATTGAATAATTCAGTTATCAAAATTTACTTGGTTTCGTAAGCAAAACTACCGTGAACTTCAAAAGAGAAGATAATAAAAACTTTAATTAAGAGCTTGAAACACTTTTTCATAACCACGTTTCTTAAGTATGAAATTGAGATACACTAAACTATTTTTCAAAAAGCATTGAAATTTATAGATGCACAATGTGAAAGCAACATTTTTATTAATATTATGTCCCGATAAGCATAATGAATGGTAACTTTCGGGATCCATTTGTGGACCAATACTATACGTCTATTTTTATTGTATAATTGTTAAATAACTAAACTATTCATATTTATATCCCTCTTATTATGAGATTTATTTTGACCGATGAACTATTATTCTAGGATTTACTCTTCTTGAATTATTCCCTGTCTATTAATTACTACCTCCCTCATTCACAGACACATTTGGCCAAATCTTGTATAAATGTTATTTTCCATTTTATGATACGATGTGTTCTGTCTGGTTGGTATATAAACCCAGTATGCTTGAAATAAATGATTCATATCACACAAGCTGAAATCGATGTTCTGGACTTAACTGGCTGGGCTAGGCAGGAAGTAGGACCGATAAGTACTCTAGACTGCTCGCACAGGCTTTACGCGTCATTGGTTCGATCGACAATTCACTGCTCTCTAATTGGCAGTATCATTACGTATACATTAACAGGGCGTACATGCCATAAATTATAACAATTAACTAAATAAATTTCAATTGAATAAAGCAATAACAGTAATATTACACACATAAATGCACTATTTTTGCATTGATACCTTTCAAGGTAAATAAATTTGTGATTACATCTTTACTTATAATATATTGAAGTGACAATTCAAACTTACATTTGTTTCAGATAATCGTTTTTTAATTAAATGACCACATGTTTCAAATATATTAGTTACCAATTCAGCCTCGTTTTGAGAGATTACGCTATGTTGAAATAAATCGCTTGATTGTTTAAATGTAGACTAAATCGTAAAGTACATTAATAAAATTACATTTAATATTAATAACCACCATGTTTATAGATGATATACAAATAAATATAAGTAAGCATCAAATTACACAACAATAGTGAAAAAAAGGCAACGGTAATTAATAGAAATGATATCGATTTTCATAGAAAATATATAAAGATATAAACATATAAAGATATGACTTACAGAAGGGTGTAAAAACCCACACTAAGTTCGTAAGCTAACACTAAGTAACATTATGTGAGTTCATTTAAGGAAATGAATTTTCATGAGATGTTCAAACACATCTCAATTTTACGATCGTGTTACACTAAGAAAGACCTGATACATGAAACTGGTCACTATTCAGTGAGTATGCCTTAGTCTTGTAAGAGGTTAGTCGTGATCCGAATAGTTCAATAGTAATGTCTCTCATTGCTAAGCTACGTAACATAAGATCGTCTCTGACAGGGAGTACCAGTTCCTTCTAGACTACAGGTACACCTTACTGATGTGTGCCAAATACTATGAAACTTATGTTCACGGTTTCCCGTCGACTAACTTCAAGTAATACTTCACACTTCACTACCGATGTTAACTTTATCTCCATTTCTGATTAGTCCTAACTTGCGAGGAATATTTTCCTAAATAAAGACTAATATCTACTACGTCTTTCATTGTAACCAAAAGTTGAGAAAAATTTCATACTGTAAAGGAATATTTTAGACCAGGTATGCAAAATAAGGGAAAACGGAACACATGAACAAAAAAATTCAAGAGACTGTGCATTTCAAACTTATTCCGAACTTACTTTTAGAGCATTCAACTTTGCTTGAGCATACTCTATTTGTTGACTGCTCATTCGCACTAGTTCAATTTCCTTAATTGTTTGATTTAATTTGTCAGTTACATCAGACCGTAATTCGCTCACTTGACTCATCCTATTCTTTACCAGGTCATCATTCATTATATTACAACAGGATAATTTAAGATTATCTAAAAAAAATAAGATCAATTTACATACTAAACAGAATATAACCATCGAGACACAAAATACAAAAAAATGGTTCAGCAAAGAGTTCTATTTTCAGTGAATTCGTTTTCAATACTGTATAATTGGAAATGTATACTTGAAAAGCAAGACCCAACATATTGAGATAAAACGTTGAAATCGAGATAAACTATAATCAGTAAGATCATGTAAACAGAAACAAATCAGCTGTGGGTAAAAGGTCTATAGAAAAAGAAGAAGAGAACAAGATGACTCTGAAAGCGAGGAAGAAATTATGAGTAAGAACATGGTAGACGAAGAGGTTGTACGAATTTATTTCGTACAGATAATTCTGGTCTATTTAGATGTATACCAAATGCTTTAGGAGTGTTAAAAAGACAGAGGCTAACTGTTTTTGACAGCTTTCTACTTATCTTGTAGATGACTTCGAACACTGAGTGTGTTTTGTTCAAATGGTCTGTTTCCACAAAATGTTTGATTATTAGACTTCTTATTGATCTATTTTTCACCTCATTTCACCCACCTCGAATAATGTTATTAAATAACTTTGGATAAAATACACATCGAAGATCCTAAATACCTGGCTCCATACGAACTAGTAAATTAGAAATTGCATATAGAATTGTTCAAATGAGATAGTTTATCCCATAGACTGCCAGTGAACAATGGCCGGTTGGGAAACACTAATCCCAAAATTGTGGTGAAGAACGTTTTCATGAGAGAGTCGGTAATTCTCCACTTCAGGATGTCTGTGGTCAGATCACCTTTGAAATGGACGTTCCTAAGAGTTTCCCATATTCAGAGACTATTTGGGCTTTAGGAGGTTCGAGTTTTATGTTCTTCTCAATAAATACTGATGGATGCCCGTTTTTGAAAAGCATTTCTAAGGAAGTACAGTTAGATATCGATGACCTCAGTACTACAAATTCTTCGTATCCGGGTAGCGAGGGATATAATTAAGTTTCGCTTTCAACTAATGAGGACCTAGATGTAAAAGCTTGATAGCTAACCATTCCACAAGAATTTCTTGTAAACAGATCAACTTGGATTTCCCTCTGTTTACAGAAAGCCCTTGTAGAATGGTCACTCTTTGAACAAATCCTTCAATTTATATACGCAACATTGAATTATATAAAAAATCAAACACCAGAACATTTCTACTGAAAATACATTTAAGTAGTATAATATAGACATCTCAAAAATACGAAATCTGAATTAGTGTTTATAATGGAAGAACAATCACATCAACAAAAACTCAGTTCTTCACAAACTCCATACAATATCTATAACATAATAAGCAGCAAAAACTTGAGTACAAAAGTATCCACCTTTCTAAATATACTGCATCCAATGTTTTTGGCTGCTAACAAATAATGTAACAAACATGAGTTGATTCACTAAATTTATGATAAAACGGCGAAAACAATTTCGACATTTCATATTTACGATAACTCATATTTCGATAAAACTAGTAGAACATATTCAACCTCTAAAATATCTAAATTCGACAACTGTCAGGTATTTTAATTTGTTGTTTTATCTTGGTTTAGCTACTGAGAAACTCTTTAATACTTTATCTATTTTCAGAGAACAGTGAACATTCAATGAGATACCAACCTTGCAATCTTTATACGAGTATTTCAATGATCGCTCATAGATCAACATTTACACTTGTCATTATTTGCTGTTCATAGTAAGTGAATACGTAAGTTTAACAGACATTAGCAAAACACAAAATTCATTTTATACTGATTTAATGAATTCATATTCTTTTTATCAATAGTATTGATATTATCCATCATTTAAAGAAAAAGAAAAGCGCACTGTATGAATTAACTCACTTTCTAAACTATCTATTTTTTTTAAGATATTGTTCAGAATTACTACTTCTGTATTACGTCTTTCATTTGAATCACAACTGTGAATCATTGTTTGAGATAAATTATTGACCAGTAATGTTTGTCCATTCACCAATTGATTCTCATCATTCAAATGGGAATGATCACGAACAACTGACCAAGAATTTGTCAAAGATTCATTTAATAATTCTTCATATTGTTTGTCGAATACATTAAAATGGTGTTGATAATTATTAACTGATGGTATACAAGCGTCCTATAATTAGTAGGGAAGTAAGAATATATATATATATATATATATATATATATATATATAGAGAGAGAGAGAGAGAGAGAGAGAGAGAGAACGTTAAAGTCATTTTCTATATGCTTTGCCACTAACTGTCATAAGTTAAGTACTGTAAGCAAGCCACATTTGTTACAGAACAAAAAGTAGTAACTGTAATCACTTGTCGAAAGAGGAAGTAAGTAATATTCAAGCCACTTTATGGGATCGTTTCAGTATTTAATCCTGTTTTACTAGATGCTAATGATCTATCGGGTATTGCAAAGTCATCTGTTCTGATATTTATGGATAGATTGAAATATGAAGAACTAGATAAAATAATTATAAGATAAAGTTATAGGTTGGTTTGGTTGTCCTCATTAGAAACGAACATTGGCAAACATTATGTCATAGAAAATGATCATAACGGCGATTATTCGTATAATTAAATAATAAATATGATACCCTTAAATATTGTCAGAGATTATCGGGATTTATGGGTTGTTCTAATACATAAGATAAGAACTAAGACAAACTGCACAGTATAAGCTCCTAAAGCCTTACAAGATCTAGTAGATGCATACATGTAATCCAAGTCTAACGTTCTATGAAAGTTGATATCAGTGTTGTCAAATCCTACCATATGTGTGTAGATTTCGTGAAAAAGGATATTGATATGGAAAATGAATTTACTAAGTCAGTATAATTGTCGCTTATCACTTCAAATAAACCAACCTATGCACAATAATAGGTCAGTTTCAAAAAGTGAGCAGGGTATAATAATTTAACTTGAAATCCATAATATATGGTCATTGAAAAGGATGTCAATAAACTTAATATAACTAACTTGAAACAATTCCGAATCATGTATATCTAATGTATCCCGTGCATTCTCACTTACAGATAATTCTTGAGGCACTAACTTTTGTCTTGTACTTGTATGAATAATCAACTGGTCATATTCAGAGATTATCTTTTGAATTTCTGAAATAAAATACAGAAATCTTTGTGATGTTGATTCAATAGGATCCAGTAGTTTTGACAAATAAGTACTGGTCGTTATTGTGTTGACTGGTATTGTTGTTGCTGACGTCATCGTCTTTGAATAATCTTGACTGTTGTCAGTGGATTTTATCACTTCATCAATTGAAATTTGAATTTGTTTGACCATATTTACAAGTTCATCAATAATAGTTCGATGATTATTTTGAACATTTTCCAATAGTTCCTATTCATATTTAGACAAAAATCAATAAGTAAAGTGGAAAAAGCTGTAGAACTGTTGGTGAAAACAAATGATTTATTTCTAAACAAGAAATCCATTGCTAAGAAGGAAAATTTATAGCTTAGAAAAAACAAGCTCACCAAGAAGCCTTCTGAATAGTTCTATGCTTTATTATTTTTTAATTGTTTAATAAACATTAAGCCTGGTACAATTGGACAGGAAAATTAGTATGCGCTACACAGTTATAATAAATGTGTGGGCGGCGACACTACCCGAGCACCTAAACCAAAACAGGCGGTTTCCTTAAGGGGACATACCCCAAGCCTTTAACCCAGAGGCCTAATTCACAAGGCAACGGAATAGCATTGAGAAATGATAACCGCGAACCAAAAATAGATTTATGAGTTATTTGTCCCATCAGGACCTTAGAGCCCATACACATCGTTGATTTTGAATTTAATTTTTTAAGGTAGACTACTCGTATTCACCAACCTGATATGTGTCAGACGTTCATTATTTGTCTTTACTCTTCATAAGTAAGAACTACTTTTTAAAGGTGATAAGTAGGATTTCACTGGTAGAGGCCAAAAACGCATAGCTCAGGATAATGATGGAGTTGTTGTGATTTCTGGGCTAAAACAGCATACATAATACTACCACCATACACTTCACAATAAAGTAAACAAAACCGTCAACTAGATGTTACTCAAACTGAAATATTAGGGAGAATTTTTGTCAAATAATAAAATACATTGAACTGTTGTAATGCTTTGGAATGAGGTTAAGAACTTTATTTCTTAAAATCTTGGATTGGTTCAAAAGCCGTAGTAACAGTATGAGTGGTAATAGGGGAGATTAGACATTGAACATATGATTCGAGAAAACAAGAACTTTAGAAACGAAAAAAATCATGACGAGCTCAAAAGCTCAGGACTTGAGGGAAGACAATGAATGAATGCACTTCTGCCATTACAAACGATTTTGAGCCATATTATCCTAAATCCGTAACCATCGGTTACGATAATCATGCGGACTACAACCAGGCAGCCCGCACCTATTAAAATGGCTAAGTCCAATTGTCAATGGCTTTATGGACTGATGCTATGTTTCAGTTTGACCGCCAGTAGCCTCCTTCCAGCCAACTCCTATATTAGAAAACACCGCCCGTCGAGTTAGGCGATGTTCAAAATACCTAACACATCCCAATCACCACAGTCCATGAAAATTTACTGCCTGATCAGTCGATTTGTCTTCATTACTTAGTACCTTATTCCTAACTCAGATATTGCTTACGCCCCGGTCACAAAATACACAAGCAATGGTTCGTAGATACCTATGGTCGAATACCAGTAGCGTACGAATATCATGCATTATTAATGGCAATGCTTTACATCCATAAAGTAGGGCGAAGAGAACTGCAGCGCAGTAAACTCGCCCTTTGGTTGGCACACGGACATGTCGTCTACGCCACAAGGGACGCAAGTTGGCAAAGGCCAGTCGAGCCTCCTGAACGTGTGCTGAGATTTCGTCGGACGCCAGACCATCAATACTGATGAGACTTCCAAGATGAATGGAGCAGTCGATGCATCCAACTACTTCACTCCTTATCACTAATCCAGGCAGTGACACAAGTCAATCCTGAAGTAGCATTTTACAAGTGGAGGGAGAGAACCGCATACTAAGCATGCTTGCACTGTTACTTAAGATGATGAGAAGAGTCCGTATTTTGTCAGCGTATCCAACAAACAGAACTACATCATCTGCGTATTCTAAATCAACAAGTGAATCTTTTGGTAGACAGCTGACTTATGGAAAGTCAGACGATGAAAGGGTTATTTCTAAGCGAATGCCTATGGAAGGGTTAAATGAAAATGGAAAAGGCGGACGACCCTGACGAAAAACACTTGAAGTAACCAATTCAGACGACAATTCATCATAAGCCCTGACTTGACCAGAAGTACTCGAATAGAGCCTGTACAAGTCTAGTGTACTTCTCCCGTACGCCTTCCAATGACAGACACTGCCACAGAACCTCACGATTGACGGAGTCGAACTCTGGAATGCAATTACATTCGAACGTCGGAAAGCATGTCTACATTCCAGAATGTTCCAAAGAGTGAATATTCGGTCCATATATCCACATTCCAAGTCTGAAACCAGCTCGGTTTTCTTGGGTTTGCTCTTCATGAGCTGTAATTAGACGTCGAAGTATTATTGAGGCTAATATTATAGGAACTGTATCAGTTTGCCATTAAGGTCGATTGGAGATAGTGGGTAACTAAAGTGTCAATGGGGTCCAGATGAACTCTCTTAAAGTATTCTGCTCATTGGTTCAATCTCTCGGATTGAGAGTGAATAGCAGTCCTGTATTTTCCTTAGACAGTTACACTAACAGCCGGATCTTTAATACCCATTTCCTTGACAATCTGAACAGATGTGCCTTTTACCTACCGCTACTGCCTTTTCCATCTCTTCTGCTGTAACTAACCACCACTGCTCATCATCACTAGTTAAGCTCTTTATCAGCCTGTGTTTAGGCTGCCTATGCTCCTCGTGTCCGGAACCAGATGGCATGAATTTCCGAGCATCTATCAGTTCTGTAGACGCCACTGAAATCCACTTATTTTTCCTAACTTTTTGGTTAAAGTTAGCAGTAAATATCACTACTGTTTCCATAGTTTTTCGGATATCATGCCAAGCTATTTCGGGGTGGGTATCCTTTTCCCGGTTAACTAGCTCCTTTAGTTGTAGTAGTAGAGAAAAATTTGATGTGATATCAAAAGAATAGGGATTCGTCATGCTTCGTTTATTTTTACTCTACTCTCCTTTTCAAATTTACACTTCACTCTCCAATCATCGGAACACTTATTACGTAATTTCATCATTTTAATAAATCTTATTTCAGCGTCAACTTTTCCAAAACACTGACCTTTTTCCTACTATTAACATTGATTCGAGCCTTTATTATTCTTATCGCAATTAGTAGGTCAGTGATCATAATATAAGTTTGTACTTTTTACTTATTATGTTTATTTATGTAATCTATTCCACTGTTATCAGTGACTCATAAACTGGCTTTATTGGTCTAATAATTGAATATATGGATATAAATATTACAGTATATTAGAGTGAAGCCTGATGAGGATCTAACTAAGAAAAACGACATTGTTCACTTATAGATGTTGTTCTAATTTACAATAAGGGATATATATTATGTCAAAGTATCCACAATGATTACCGCTTAACGTTGTATTTTGATTGGGCATACTAACGTGTGTGCACTTAGTTCAAACCATTAATGTATTTTCACAGATTGAACTCATGAGTCAGTTGAAGCTAGACCACCTTTGAAAACCTGGAAGCACTGGACGGCCGTTTCGTCCTAGTATGGGACTCCTCAGCAGTGCGCACCCACGACCCCGCACCACCCGGGGCTCGAACCCAGGACCTACTGGCTTCGCGCGCGAGCACTTAACCATTAGACCACTGAGCCGGCATCCAACGGTGTTAATGTCTAACTTCAACCAATCCACGAAGTTGCGCTACCGTACACCATTGTCTTCAGTGAGTTCCTATCTCACAACAGACCTGGTTGAACTCCACTGGTAACGACTTCTCACTAGAACTCCAGAAGTGTCTCCTGAAGTCAGTCACTAGTGAGCAGGTGATTATTATTATCAGAATGTGTTTTGTGGAGATTTTTAGAAATTTTCAGATTGAACTCATGAGTCAGTTGACACGAAAAAGGATTACATGCAATGAATGTTTAAATATTGTTGAGAAATAATATCATCAAGAATAGCACTGAAATACAAAAGTATAGGAAGTGTATTTGTGTTTATCATCTAGGTAACTTATTATCCTGTTTTTAGACTGCGTGTTCACAATGATTATACACACTAATCAGTGGTTACTAAGTAAAACTTTCGGCATTGTCCACCAACATACTTGGAATTTATTAGTAACTATGTAACTTTATACTTTTTCTGCTCCCAGTCATCAGGACTGTATTGGCCAGCGTCTATTGGCATATGGACTCATCAAATGAATGCCTCAATTTTGCCAGCATTTACAAGTTGATTATCGTTCGGATGGTAGTTATTAATGGAGTTTGAGAACCACATTAAGTCCAGTCTCTAACTCACCGGTTGGATGTATCTGTATTTCAGTACCGATGTTCAATGAGCTATTCAGTCATAACAGCTATCTAGAGGGTAATGTACTGTTAATCCAATGAATGAATACTAGGTTAGACTTTCAGTAAGAACCTAAAAACTCAGATAACTCCAGCTAACGAATCCTAGAATAAGATGAAATGCGTGTTTTTGATCCCAAAGCTAGCAGTTATTTGAAATAAAAAAAATTTGGAAAACAAAATCCTAGAAGTAAAACTGAAAAAAAAACTTTTTCTAGGTAGAATTCAATTTTATTTTGTTCTAACATCGAGTATATCAAAGCCATGTAATGTAAGTATTAACAATAAACATTATACTATGGTCTGTATTATTTTGTAACTGACCTTTCTTCCTGATGACCTTTTGGCAAACAAAAATTTTTTCACATTTAATATCAGTGTAGGTAGTTTATGTTAATAAACCGATTGTGTTCTTTAGTTAATTAATTTAATTAGTTACTCCGTGATGATCAGTCTGATCTATTCTCATTCCACAATTTATGATTCATTCTCTTTCATGTTTAAATCCTTTGTTTAAAATCAATTGCATTTGCAAAGTACATGCACGTCTTGACATGTATGACATGAATGTCTTTAATTTCACACTGTATGGGAAAGAATAAATTCTTCCCATCTAAAATATATGTGAATTTTCACAATTTTCATTTACGGTTACTCATTAAAATTGAAAATAACTTTCGTCTTTGGGTTTCTATCATCCTTGATTGTAACAGAACCTATCATCCAGGTGTTAATTACGCCTAAACTACAAAGAATTGTATTCGATTGTCAATTATAAAGAAATTGGCCAGTAAGTTAGTTTGTTTGAGTCCAGTTTATAGAACAAAATAACAAATTCAAGGAAATGTTAAACTTCACACAGATAGATCACCGACAATTGGGATGAAAGGTATTACAATAAACATAAAGACTATACAGGAAAAAATAACTTAAACTTTTATCTCCAGAGACTGTTAATATGTATATCCACTTGAATAAGGCTGTATATTGGTACAATTTTATTTATATTGTTTGGATGATGCTTCACTTAGTCAACTAATTTCCTGGAACTCATTATGCTCAGTGTAATCAATATAAACTTTTGTGAATTGGATGATGTGACCGTTTTTACATTGAATCCTGTTAAAAGTAACTGGTCGGTCGATTTATTTATTTGAACACATAAATAGTGGTATAAAGGGGCACCGAATACATATGCGCAACACAAGTCACTTGATTTATATGTGGGATGTGACACTACCCGGGTGCCCAGACCGAAGCAAGTGGTTTTGTAAGGAGACGACACCCGGAGCCTTCGACCTAAAGGTCTGAACCACAAGGCAGTGGAGTAACGTTAGGAGATGCAGTCCCATGATCCCCTAGGTGGATCCTCCATATCCATTAACCCGGTTAAAGCGCTAGGCATTCTCTTTTTATCCCCCCGATTTCGTAAACACCCCCGCCTCGAGAAGGCAATGAGTAGGACTGCCCTGGTAGTGGCTGTATACGTGTGGCTATGTGAGAGGATTTCGAGAGGAAGAGAGGACTCTCCCTACGCCCGGCCGTCCCAGGGCATTTGGAGCTAAATAATTCAAACACATTATCTGTAAATATGATGATAATGATGTGGAAACGTACACCACTAGTTCTACTAAGAACCATCAGGGTCCTATGTAGTACAGTATAAAAATTTTGGGAGTTTTATTCTCTGAGCTGGATGGTTTGGTCGAGAACAAAACTCCACCAAAATCATCCACCTGAGCTACAAATCTTCTCCACCATCTCAGTATAAAAATTTTCAGAGTTCAGCAAAAATACATAGCTTTTAATTAAAATAAGCTTATTATAGGTTTCGCTAGCATCGTCAGAGGTACTCGAATTCAGGACGATATATTTGACCTGATATTATCAGCAACAACCTATTGTAGGGGAGAACCAACTTCCGACTGAAAAGGAAGTGGATAAGATATAAATTACAGAAATCACCAAACTGCATCATAAAGCAAGTGCTAACTTGGGATCCTAAAGAGAAATGGAAAAGAAGTCCAAAGAACACACTGCTCCGAGAATTGGAAGCAGAGATCAAAAGGACGAATAGCAACTGGAAACAAGAGGAAACGATTGTCCAGGACAGAGTTTGATGGAGAATGCTGTCGGGTCACCTATGCTCCTCCAGGAAACTTAACAGGTATAAGTAATTAAGTAACTTCTCCGGCTGTGACATGGGTTTGAATCCCACTGGAAGCACCAGTCTTTCAGGTACTCATTGTTAAAAAGAGATACGGCTACCTGTCGACTGCATCCAACTAAGAAACACTGTACTCAAAGAATCCTATTACATTAGACACAGCATATGAGCATTGGTATCGAAAGTGTATTTCTTGATAATAAATCTCCGCTAAGAGTCTAAAAAGGTCAACTAGCTAAAATCAGCACAAATATTTACATAAACTTACCAAACACTGTTGTTTTCCAGTACATAGATTTTCTAACTTTTCATAAGTAATTAGAGCACATTCTACATTCTCATTTTGTTCATCGTCGTAATTAGCACTTTCACGATCCTCCTTATCATCCTTGTCACTAACCTTGATAGATATTGCCAGTTCTCGAAGTAATTCTACTTGATTTTGAATAGTATTAATGTAAGTCAACGCATGATCAATTGTCTGATGATATCTGTCCATAGTCGGTATGTAGAAAACAGATAATTGTTGATAAATTTGTGTAAAATAACTAAGTAATTGTGTTAGATGTTGATTAACTTCATAGAATTTTACAATTTGATCACTGATTCCAATATTATTTTCATTATTAGTAATATTAGTAGTATCAGTAGTATTAGTAATAGTATCTGTAAATAAATTAATTCGATCTTCATTCATAATGATTGGTTCAATATATTTATGCAACCAGTCAATTTCACCTTGAATAATATTGATATGATCCTGTTATTAGGAAAAAAAGAATGAAAACTGAAGTAATGTAAAGATGTGAAATGAATTACCAAAAATATATAATTAGAATAGTTATATGCTAATCTATTTCTTTCTGCAATAATTAAACGTCTATCGTACAAGCAATCCAATAATACAGTTGTGGAAATCTAGTAGCTACCACCTTCGTAACTGTTGGTATTTATCAAATACTCCAGGTGTATCTGTAAGTTTAAATAAATCTGCACATTCAGAAACACGTTTTTCAGAGCCTTGCAAGAAGGCGTTACCTCAAGCTGGTAAGGCCATAACATAACTAAGATATCACCTCTGTTTCTGATATGAAGTGATAAAAATACATTATTTAAGTAAACATTTCTTGGATCGATTAAGCATAAACTTCGTTCAGTATGATATATATATTCTCTGAATCAATTCAGGTGAACTATATTGTACGTGTGCTTCTACAGTAACTCTATGTATCTAGTATTCTTGTGTGCGAAAACTAGCATAGAAATTATTCTAGTGTCTTTCGTCCCCATACTTTGCAGTGATTCCCGATTGTCAAGTAAAAGCAGTAAGACTAAACGGAGTCGACACATATATTAAGAGATTATGCAGATACAAAAAATTTCAAACAAAATCTTATGGTATGTTAAAACATAGCGAACAAAATTTTATCATTAACGTCATCTCGTTATCAACGTCTTCCATTAGAGTCCGAATCCCCAAAACAGGTAGAAGGTTTGAACCCCATTCTATCTTCATCACTTCAGCTGGGTGGCTAGTATAACTTATCTTTAACACAAAGACTGTGGCTCAAATCAGAGTACAAAGAGGAAAATTAATTTAACATAATAATTAACAAGATAGTTGATGAAAATTTTCCGGTATATTTGATTTAAAAAATTAATTGATAAAATGAAATGATAACTACTTCTAATAAACATATACTTACTGAAATGATATTTACGTGACAATGAAGAGAATTCGAGTTGGGTAAATTACCATTTGGAAATAAAAGTTCAAATGATTGTAAAGTCGGCAGACAATGAAAAGTTGATGTTAAGTTTCTAGTTATTTGTTCATATGATCTAGTGATCTTGAAAGTGGAATCAAAAGATGAAATAATATGTACAATTACAAAATGTGCATTTTAATAAAAACAAATGACAGGTCGATCAATTAGAAATGAATAGATCATATAAATATTGCATTAGTTGAAGTCAGAATTCTTTGAGATAGCTGACAGTGAAACAAACAAACCATCAAACCGAACTATGAAAAAACACACCAGAATAAATGAATAGAAGGGAGTTTCAGTAAGAGTGAGTTGCCGTTGGAACTCAACTATGTAAGCTAGGAATGAGGCAGGCACTATCCATGAGAGTATAATCATGGTCGAGCTGAAGCGTAAATTAAATGAAATTGAAAATTTGACCCACTTGATACTACCTTAGTGATCTAGAGGGACATAGTTCTACCTTAGAGAAGGTCCCTGAGTGTGTATGGTTCGAGAACTTCATACGAGATCAGAACCGCTATTTAGTGCTGCCTGGTTCCTATTTATTGTCTAGCTCGGGTCAGTCTGTGGTGCAAACTATCTTTAAAAAAAGTGAATGTTGGTAACCGGAGATAAATAAACACTAGAAAATAAATTTAATAATAGAAGTTAAGGAGTAATTTAGTTTGTACGACAAGTTTAGGATACAATTAATATCCTCTAACTTGAAAACGAAACTTCTAGAAACAGTTAATAACGTAGTTCACTGGTAGTGTGAATGGCCTAAAAGTCCGGACAGTCATCATTAATATAGGGCTTATAAAGATCTGAATCAGTCCATTCTTTCACACTATTGTCCATGTATTGGGAAGGCAATAGCAATATGAAAAGCAAGTCAGTCCAAATAATAATATTAACAGTAGCAGGAAACTTAGCGTAGATAATATAGTTCAAAAGATATCACAGAGAAATAAAACGCAAGGGATAATAGTAGACTCAAGAGTGAGCAGACAATAAAAATGAATCCATCTTTTGTCGTCTGTTTACCACATCTATTGGAAAATAACCAAAGTCCTATAGGAGATTTGTTTATTCAGGTCAGCGTTTTTTAGCAAGGATGCTGACCCCATGCCCAACCCTCCTCCTTTGCTCGGGCTTGAGATCGGTAGTAGCCCTAGTAGGGTTATAGATGTAGTGGAAACAACTGGAAAGGATTGTCCAGGACAGAGTTCGATGGAGAATGTTGGTAGGAGGTCTATGCTCATTCACGAGGGGTAACAGGCGTAAGTAGTAGTAAGTATAGGAGATTCGGAAAAACGACCAAGCATTTGTTTTCCATCTTTTCAAATCCTGGTAATTGTTAAGTTTCTAATTAAAATCATTTTAAAATAACCCGAAATCATCAATCAATATATCGCTTAACTTTCTACCTAATTGTACAGTTATTTTAAAAGAACGGAAATATAATTTGAGCAATAAATATTTACAATTACTCAATCAATTATCTGTCCCAAATTTTTATGCTGCACTAAGGTCATTAATTACGGTTAGTTATCATAAGAACACGCCCCAAACTGTACATTATAAGTTATAATCGTTTAATTAATTGGAATTAAATTTGATAAATATTTTGACGTTTGAACACCACCCGTGTTTGTTCGACTGTTCAGTTTTTCTAAAGTCGAAATTCATCATCATGTTTGCCACTTTGATCTAAGTACTCATGATCCAGCTCAGAAAACAAAACTCCATCAAAGTCATCCACCTGAGCTACAAATCTTCTCCACCATCTCAAAGTATCATTCCACTGTGCTTAAAGTTGTTGTTAACCTTAGAGGTTGATGACAGACATTATTAATGGGTCAGTCATTCAATTAATCATAAATATGCGTTCACACCAGTGTCCATACCACATTAGACCCATAAGATAAAATTTATAAAATGAATATCAAAGAAATTGAAATAGTTTTGATAGTGAGAAAGACTAAATATTGAGATTATGTTTCGAGAAGACAAAATGAGAAGATATGTATGAGGGAATACCAGAGCTTAAAATCTACAGTAAGATATAGAGTGAATCTATTTTACTGTTAATCATTCTGAGCTATGTCACACAACCCCAACTACTGATCGCAGTTTTAACGCGTAACCCAAATAAGTAGTCTGAATCTACCAACATAGCCCAGATCAACAAATAATGACTTCATAGACTGATATAACTCGAAAATTTTGACCTAATTTGAGTCATGTCTTATCAGTGACGTTATTTTTTTAAATATTATTTACAATTGGTACTGCGAACTTGAAATAATTGCGTATGATAGACAGCTGAATATAGGACATAGTACCCTCACCTAAACATTAGTTTATTCGAGCTTGAATTTATTAAGCTCTTTAATTAAAATATTCAATAGATAGTGCCATTTGTGTCAGTAATAATTTGGTTATATCGTTACACTATTATCGCCATGCTTCTATGATCATGTATACTTGGTCACGTGTTACAGTCTACGAACATATTCCTCTTACTAGCAAAAATTGTTAGTTACATAAATTGTTCGGTGATTCATTCGCTTGCTTATATGGATGTGCTTCTTAAATCCCATTCATTCGCTCGTTGACATTTACACCTCTATTCGTATTCGCTTAGTGATCTGCGCTGTACAGTAATAAACTGTAGTCAGAGCTTCGTATTATCTTCTGAAACGTACACATGATTGAGAAGTTATCTGATAATGATCATCAGGATGAGTGATATATGAAGCATAGGAATTATTTCGAGGAGATTCCACTATCAAACACAGAATTTTACAAACTTATACTTCCATTACAAACAGGCTTTAACTACCATAAGTAGCCAATTAAAATGTCGTTGCTTAGATGATTTGGCTCCTTGAACACAATCAATTTGTATATAAAGTTAATATTTAAGCTTAAATATTTATTAGCTTTAATCAATCGACAAAATAATTTACTCAAAGTTGAGACAGAAAAAATTAAACATAATACACATGAGTATTAAGAGCATAGTATCAAACTAAATTGAATATTACCACTAAGTTGTTAGAAAAACATTTCATATTGAGAACTAAAATGTTACTTAGCACAATATCTATATATGGTCAGCAAAATTTAGTCTACTATGTTGTTCACCATTTGATAAAAAGTTCATAATTACTAGGATTGTGCTTTGTAATTGTATTAAGACTTATGATATTAATTTATTATCATGTTTTCATGTGCTGCGTGTATTGATCCTCTCATACGTAATAATACTAAGAATTTTAGGAAAGATACCAAGTTCCATGTACATTTGATGTGGATAGATAATCGCTTTGTTCTAATATTTTATGTTTTACGGGGACTGTCAGTTTAAAAAATAGAACCATCAATCAAAGTAAATGGACTGTGAACTCAGTGCTTATACAAAATCTATGTGTCAAGAGGAATTAGCTTAATCAGAATGTTAAATAAAGATAGGTAGGTCGTCTTCTGTACAAATATATACAGGTTCAAGTAAGCCTACTTTACATCTACATAACATTGGATAGATTAATCAACAAAAGAGGGGAAATAAAGTATCAGACAAGGAACTTCAAATTATAAAATCATGGAAATAAACATCAAATGAATGGGTGGAGATATTAGCGATAAAGGACAATGTTAAGCCGTTAACATAAACAACACATATTCATTCATGGATAATATTTTTACGAATTACACCAAGGCGATGTACCAAAGAAAACACTAGGCATGTGTTTTTTTCCTAGTACGCATCTAAGACCTCACCGAATATCGACCTAAGGAATGCTTAGGTCTTGCAACAAGCTCTTGATATTTAGACCCCTGAGTTGAAATCCAATGATTTACACTTCTGATTTTAATCGTTATGATCTAGCTTGTATTTGGAAGGTATATTTCAAAGGTAATTTTCATTATGAACTAATGTCATACAGAAAAAATCAAGGGAGCAGTATGTACTCGCTGTCCAGTACACGAGACATAACCCAAGACCAAGTTTTAGGATAAAACATATTGTCCAATTCGTCATTGGTTCTCGATAGATTCCCTAGCTCCCACAAGTTCGTTATTTAAAAATTACCTTTACGAATATGGATCATTATGATTATCAATGAAAAATAAACTCACTAATTCATGGAATTTTCTTGTCATTAACTCTTTAGTTATTCTGTCCCATAAATTAAGAATATTCACTGATAGGTATACATTATCTTCAGCATTGTATATAGATGTAATTATTCCTGGTGGTCTAACACCATCGCTCATTAATTTATCATAATTTTCCAACATCGGTAAAAGTTTATGGTGATAATATTGTGATAATTTGACAATAAGATTGTATAAAACAGTGATATCTTGTTCTAGATGGCCAGTATTATTATCATAATTATTATTCGCTTGTGGACCATTTGATTCTGACTGTATATTTAGATTTAAGTCACTCTCTTGTTGTTTCATCCAACTGAATTCTTCTTGAAGAGCAGTTGTTAAATTACTGTATTGTTCGTGAAAATTATTCAAATATATTATCTGGTTTCGTAAATTAATTTGCATGTCATTTAGTTCACTTTCAATACAATCAAGTTTGGCAATAGATTTGCAAGATAGTGAATCCGTTGCTGGTGTACACTTTAACCTTTGTAAATTCTCTTCAATATATGCGAATTCTTTTTGAATTTCTTGTAAATCGGTAATCTGTTTCTCTAGTTTATTGGCAATTGTTGACGGACCAGTATCATTTGATGAGTCATTATTGTCAGGATCGTCAAGTTTATGAGCAAGTGAAACTAAATTCTGACTGATAAAATCAAGTTCTTCATTTATATTTACTGCAGAATAGCTTGTTTGCTTCTCTAGGCGTTCAACCAACCTATCACAGCGTTTCATCAAGTCAACACGTAAACATTTCAATGTTGATAAACGTGTAGCAATATGACCCTGATAATTCTCTTCTGAGCACAAAATAAGGTTTAAAGAAAGTTAATCACTACTAGAGAAGGGACAACATATTGAATGCTACAAAGTTCAAATATTGCCACCCGTCCAATTGTCTATGTTAACAGACTTACCCAACAGAACAGCCACAACCACTTACAACTGGTGACTGACATAGTGATCATAATCTCATTGTTAAGATGTGGCAAGAAGGAAACCTTGGGTAAGTACTCTCTAGTGAACTATTTTGAATGTTTATAAATGAGTATCTATCAAACAGTTATATTTCTACATAGCCCTAATTGCAAGTTATCTTTTAACGGTTGGAGTTAAGTGCAACTGTATGTATTGAACATGTCTATTGCAGCACAGCTCGATACAGAAAAGACAAGTATAGTAGGTCATAACGATTTAAAGTTGTGTTGAACTGTAGTATCGTATTGTACTTACATAATAGTGAGTTCAGTATGAGACACAAAATGGTATCATCACTTATCAGCTTTCTGGTGTTCTGATTAGTGGTTACGAAACGTGAGGATTTGTAAAGTTTATTAATCACTTGATAAATGTAACAATTGAGTTACTGGGCTTACTGATAGTGTAGTAGAACAAAAACCACGAAAATGTATAAGGGGAGTATTTATCATTAAGAAAACATAACACGTACTTGAAGATTGTTTGTTAGCGTTTGTAAACCCTGATGTAACCGGCATGCACTGTAATACTAGAATCGAGTTGTCAGTCAAAATAAGAATTCATAGTTTCTTGCATTACATGAATTCTGATCGAACACATTTCATATGGTTGATTTCATCTTGTTATTTCATGCAACCAATTATTACTAATTCGAAATGTTAGTTTTTTGGACAATTAATTTAAACTGTCAACTGTACATACACTGGTAGGCATTTATTGAAATTAATATACCTGTTATATATATTTATGTGTGCTTTAATGTAATGGGGATTTTCTCGATACAAATCTAATATGTTGTACGGTACTGTTGGTGACAAAAAGAAGCTAGAACGAAGCCAATGTACATAAAAGTAAACTTTCAAATGTAAACGATAGATCACAGGTCAGCGTGAATATAGCACAATTTGATTATAAAAAATGTAATTATGATATTTCTTGATTCGATATGTTTATTGTTAAAGGTAAACTAGAACTTCAGTGATGAACAGAAAACGCCAAATTATCTTCGAATTGCTTTAATCCTTATCTTACTCAAAAGATATTCAATTCCATCTCACCCGATACTTTCATTCTATGATCTTGTATGTAATTTTTCAGTTATATCTCTAAGATTTTATCATAAAGTGCGATGGATATAAACAATTCTCTCCATTCATTTCACAATTTGGTAATTTATGTCGCCCGATGTACTGACATGAGGAGTAACAACTTAGATAGATATACAATTGTGTCCTACAATGCTAACGAGTGACGGCTTGACAACACAGTGCTCTCGATCATTGTTGTTGGTCTGGCACTGATTATCTTATCAACCAGTGATGTATAAAATGATTTGTATTATCTAACTTTGAAAATATTTTATCTTACATTTAGTTACAAAATTTTATTAATTTATATTGCTTTTAACCTAATTCAATTTAATTTAAACTACGAATTCCGTCTAATTTATTTCTGTATTGAATATGCATCCACAAATTTAGAATATGTACATGATTCACGGGTGAACTTCTCATTTCTCAGTACCCAGACCACTTCCTTAAATAAACTGAACCTCATTCATCAAATTTAAGTGGGCTTATTCACCTACATAAAATACAAGCACTAATCATGTATTATGTAAATAATTTGCTAATTTTCTATCCAGTGTACTAGATCCTGTAAGTCAAATAAAACCATTAAAACATATTCTAACACAGATGTCGAAAATCCCATGATTACTAACGTTATATTGTACTTTATATAACTACAAAAAAAGAAATTTTTATCACTGTATGAACAAACTGGAAGTGTAGGTTTTTTATAATTACAACAGTACTTTAGTATCTGCATGATTCTTTTAATTGGAATTAACACTGAAGACTATATCTATGAACAAATCTTTTATTTATCTTCAGCTTTACGTGTTAAGTGAAGAGTAGAGGATTTAAAATCCGAATGAAATGAAAGAATTCAAGCATGAAGAAAGAATCATATTACTGATGGATGTTACAGGAGATTGAATTAATAAAGGATTAATTTTATAACAACAACAGGGTGTAGTATTTCACGGATATTCTACTAATCACATTCTGATTACATTTTCTTGACAAAAATAATCTAATGTAAGTAGTTTCAGATATGATACAAGGTAAGTATGTTTCAAAGTAAGGGCATTGAGCAGAATTCAATAGGAACATAATAAACTCACTATAATTTTCAAGTGCATGTTTCAAAATGTTTCCTGTCTGTCAGATCTAAAAGCATTATACCAGTGTTGACTAGGGTTGTTTTGTCAGGTTTATAGACTGGAGTGTCATAATTTGATTGCTGATACATCATTCTATTGTTTTTAATCACTTTAATATCAATTATTTGTTATTACTACCTCGAAGTTTTTAATTTATTCTTCACTCTTCTCATACTCGTCAAGCAGGCAATTATCTTTCACATTTAATTTTAGCTTATCATATTAACTCAAATTATCGATCGTTGAACGAATTTCTTTAACACAATATGATGTAATCGTTCTGCTCTGTTATTTATAAATTAACGATAAATACGATTGCAGAGCTTGAGTGAATGATAGTGTCGAAAAGAATCATCTAGTTCAACTTCATAAAATTATTCTCCTGAGCTACAAATCTTTATTACCGTCAACGAAAACTAAAACAAAAACTGTATATATCCTTCAATGAAACTATGCTTGTAAAATAAATACAAATCAAATTACCTGGACTTATTTCTAACGTAGGTTCTACTTTTCCAGTTAACTGTGATAGATCAGTATACTCATTATATAAAATAGTTATAGTACTAGGAGTTACATAATCATCACTCTCTGATAAACATCTGTCCATATTCCAACTTGATATTATGTAATCAATTTGTGAAGTATTTTTTTTAATCAAAAGTAATAATTGAAAAATATTGTCAATTTCTTTTATATATTCATCACTAAAGTGTTCAGTTGCTTCCATTTCTTCGAGTTCCACTGAAATACGACTTAATTTATTTTCCAATTGAGTAAGAGATGAATCAATGAAATTAAATTGTATAAATGATGACTTTTCATTATTCATTAAGTCATGATGATTATTACATTCCACCATGTGATTATCTCTTGAATCCATTTCGTCTATATTGTTACTATTATTATTAATGTGATTAATATTATTATTAGTATCATTTATATTGTATAGGGAACTTCTTATTGAATCCAATACATTGTAATCAGACTGAGATGAGTTACAACAATCAACATTATGGTGGAGTTCAGGTTCTTCTGATAGGATGGACAATTCCTCATTATTATTATCATTAATATTACTATTATTATTATTGTTATTATTATTATTAATAACATCGTCATATTCATCAGTTCTTGGTAAATTAGTTTTCATACAGACAACACTATTATCCGTATTGTCAGAATCATGATCAATTGGAATTTGTTTTATCTGCATAGAAGATACCTCTGATAAAATACCAAATGTTTCATGAGAATCAATAATAGATTGTGTATCCCATTTTATATGATCGATATTATCATCAGCATACAATGTTTGATAAGCCGAATCTTCATAATATTTATTATCGTCAATGTGTAGGAGATTTGAAATAGTTGAAACTGGTGAAAATTTATCATTCATTTGTGTAATATCATTTTCAGTGTTGTCACCATCTTCATTATCCTCATAAGCAACAACGGAAGTATCACCTTCATCTATTTGTGAGGTATTAGTAGTGATATTAGGATTCATATGGAAAGATGCCATAGATACAGACTTGTTTGTATGATCAAAAGAAATATCTAATTGTTCAAAATTTATTTGATCATCATTATGTGGTGTATTTAGTTGACCTTGCCAGATAATAAACATATCCCACTTTCTTGTATTGAGATCATTATCATCATTAATAGATGCACAAGTTTCATCAACCAAAGAGAGAGGAATCACATGATGTCTAAACCTGATGGGAAAATTAAAATAGGATTTTTTCCGAGTACGTTAATTTATATTTATTTGAAGGGGTTTTGTGGAGATTGTAGTAATTTCAATAGTTGACATCATGGGTCAGTTGGAGCTAGACCACTATGGAAAACCTGGAATCCCTCGAGGCGGGGTCATGGATGAGCACTGCTGAGGAGTCCCACAATAGGGTGAAATGGTCATCCAATGCTTCCAGGTTTTCCATCATGGTCTAGCTTCAATTAACTCATGATTTCAACTATTGAAACAAATTTAGTTATTAAAGTATGAACTCGAAAATATTAACACAAGACAACAGAGAGGGAGAATTTCAGTTTAAGTCAGCTGCTTTAGAGTCGATGGAGTGTAGTAGTGCACTCCTACGATCAGTTCCATACTGGTTCATATTCAGGACCTTTAAATTTCATGGTCAGCAAGCATTAGCTTTAAGACTAATAAGTTAGAATTCAGTCTCCAACATTTCTTACTTTATAGTCAATTATTGATACAGACTAATTTTCGTTTTTAATCTCCTTCTATTGTTACTAAAACTACTAAAACAAATGATGAGATCTCTAACTTCATTTTTCGACTCAATTTTAAACATAGTTCTTTCAAACAAACATTAGCATAACTTAAAATCATTCAAGATACTTTTAAGTAAAGTAAGAACTCTCTGTCTGGAAAGCGTTAAAGATCCTCTAACTGTTAATGGTAACGAAGATGGTTGTGAAAAATGGGAGACAAATAAATGTAAAAACCAATAACCTAACTCTTGGAAAGAAACCTATTTGCTACTCATCCTGTGTTCAAAATAAGGGATCCACAGAATGACCAAAGGGCAAAGGACTTGGAACTTCCTCAGAAAGTTTGGTTTGAGAGTACAATTGTAAAGGGTTCGGAAATTGGAATAAATGGATGTTTTCTCTACGTCAGATCCAATTTTATTTATAAAACAAATGCATATGAAAAAGTATTGATCAAGAATAATGCTTTTATCAAACCTTATGAATATATTCCCATGATTATATGCCAGGAACTCAATCTTCCTTTAAAAAAGGTCGACAGTTCTGGATCTTTGTCAAGATGACAATTATACATACAGGGTACCATGGTTACTTATGCCAAGCGATTTAAACTTAATCTCTCCAAACAAAAAATAGAGTGTATGTATCATCCATTTCGCTTTCAATAAACTACTTCCCATTATTTTAACTGTTGATTTGAGTTTCTCAGGATCCCTTGGTCCCTTCGCTTATTTACACAATTTTGTAGGGACCATTATTCAAGCTATAACGGATTTTATGGAAAATCTATCTGTATATCCTAGTAACAGAACTTATTCAGTTACGAATAAACTACTTTACCATTATTAAAATGATTTGTGCTTTATATATTTCAAAAGATGTAAGGAACTTCAATCCACTCTTTAGGTCAGAATGCATTATTTGTCATTCCTTACTATATTACACCAGTTTAAGTTTGTTTAAAGTATTCTCAAAACCAAACCATAACTATTATGAGGGTGATGTTTCCAGTTAATGTTCAAAAGCAGTTGATTTCTATTAACTTAAATGACTAAATAATTGACATCATATGACACAAAATCGAGTACATCGTAATAAAAACTATTCAAAAATTGACTAGCTTTTTTTGCACCCTTTATGACGCAATTTTGGAAAATTCCCTTGTCGACATTTGGTCTTGATTTCATCTGTAAACACTAATTCTTATTACATCTTTCAATGATCAATTTACCTAATCAATATATTAGGGAAATTTATGAGTAAAACTCAGAACACATACATATAGATAAATACTTATGAACACATGTAACTGATGCACGATGACATTGTTGAAGTTCATCCCATGAAATAATTCATTCAATCGACAGTCATGTCATTTTGTAGTGAAGTATTCTCTACTTTTTTAAATACAGATAGAATTCAACACAAACTACCTTGTCATCCTCTCTGTAAATATATATGTATATAAAATTAATGCCGAAGAATGTTTTCCGTCTGACTTGCTATAGGCTTTTGGTATTACTCAATATTTAATTTTATGATGTGTAAATTTTTGTGCATTACCTATTATTAATTATTTTTCCTTATCATTCTTTTCTGGGTTTTGAAGGACAGATGTTATCGTTGAAAAGAGTCCTGAAGGTAGTTAGTAAGGTATATGATGAATCTTTTGATGTCATTACGAATATGATTGTAGGCAGACATTTTAAATCTTGAGAATTACTGACAAATGTTATTTTATCAGGTGGTAAACGTCCACTCCGTTCGCCTCTTCATCCTTATATATATTCCGGAAGACGAGACACCGATACATAAAAATCCATGTATGAGAGCAGAATTATAAGATTATTACGGTACCATAACTAGCACACCATCGTCGAACAACCAGTTGGGTGGAACTCGTCACTGTACATCAACTTCATCGATTATGAAAAGGCATTTGACAGTGTAGACAAGAGGACGTTATGGAAACTTCTTCGACACTACGGAGTTCCTGAGAAGATTGTCAATATCATCCGGAACTCATACGACGGACTACAATGCGAAGTCGTGCATGGAGGACAGCTGACAGACGCATTCCAAATAAGGACTGGATTCAGACGAGGCTATCTACTCTCTCCCTACCTCTTTCTTCTGGTGGTCGACTGGATTATGAAGACCTCGACATCTGAGGGAAAACGCGGAATTCAATGGACAGCTCAGAATCAATTAGACGATTTGGACTTCGCAGATGATCTAGCCCTCCTATCGCATAAACACGAAGAGATGCAGATAAAGACAGCCAGTGTGGCAGCAGTCTCTGCATCAGTAGGTCTCAGCATACACAAGGAGAAAACCAAGGTCCTCAAATACAACACGGAGAACAGCAATCCAATCGCTCTTGATGGTGAAACTTTGGAAGATGCAGAATCTTTCACATACCTGGGAAGCATAATCAATGATCAAGGAGGTTCAGATGCAGACGTAAAGGCGAGGATTAGCAAAGCAAGGACAGCATTCCTACAGTTGGAGAACATATGGCACTCAAAACAGCTTTCAACCAATATCAAAGTGAGAATCTTCAATGCGAACGTCAAGGCAGTTTTACTGTACGGAGCTGAAACTTGGAGAACTACAACAACCATCATCAAGAAGGTACAAGTATTTATAAATGGTTGCCTACGAAAGATACTCAACATCCATTGGCCGGATACCATCAGCAACAGCCTTTTGTGGGAGAGAACAAATCAGCTTCCAGCTGAAGAGGAAATTATGAAAAGACGATGGAAATGGATAAGACATACATTACGCAAATCGTCAAACTGCATCACGAGACAAGCCCTAACTTGGAATCCTGAAGGGAAGTGGAAAAGAGGAAGGCCAAAGAACACATTGCGTCGGGAAATAAAAACAGATATGGAAAGGATGAATAACAACTGGAAAGAGCTGGAAAAGATTGCCCAGGACAGGGTGGGATTGCGATTGCTGTTGAGCGGCCTATGCTACTTCACGAGGAGTAACAGGCGTGAGTAAGTAAGTATAACTAGCACATACGCTATACAACGAATAGATCGTGAGAGCTGACCTAATATATATATATATATATATATATATATATATATATATATATCAAGTATTACGGTAGAGGATGAGCAATACAACTTTGTTTTTTCTTTACTGAATACACTAAAAATGTATTAAAATTTATATTAATGAAGGTTGGTTATATCAGGATCGAAATAGGACCGGAAAGTTTTCAGTTGAGTTACAGAGTCGCAAACGGAAAATGCTTAGTATTCCCCCAATTAAGATGAAACGGTTTACCGTCAATTGCTTATTGGTTTTTTATTCGTCTACCCTCAAATGTCATAACAGGTAACGTAAATTAAGCTTACACCAATTCTTTTGAAATTAATTAAATTAAAACGTATTTATGCTTACCAACTGAAATAAGCAGATGTTCTATAGGAACACCCATTGTTCACTTGTTGACTTTGTTCACTATGAATTAATTCGTTTTCATTCTGTGAGATGGCTGAATTAACCAGTTGCTTTTCAGTACACTTCAAAAAATGTGATTTGCTTTGAATAGTTATAATTAATTCACTGCGATAGTATGAAATAAAATGACATGGACTTGTACTGTAATATTTTTCATGACATTTATTACTGTTGAGCCTCTTTGCATGCGTTGCGTGTTCAATGCCGATTGTTATACTTAAAACGGTTGTATACATTTCTACAGGTGAATAGAAATCTGTCGGATCCATATTTAGACCAATCATACAGTTATATTGCATACCTTTCAAACTCTGTAATGGATAGAAATAGAAGGATAAAATTACAAAGTCATCATTGATTAAAAGTGAAATGTATCAGATAGGAGTTGTTGAAAAACTACTAACAATAAATTAAAACCGATTAAGTAGACGAAACAGGGAAAAAATATTTATCAACATCAAGAAGAAACAGACTATACTTAACTGCTAATTTTATGTCTCAATCGTCATATTTCGTTTACTTGGAATATGCTCAATTCGATAATTTTTCGAGGATAAGATTGACACACAGACATATATCACCTCAGATAGACTGCTGTCGATTATTGTTATTATATACCGGATTACAGTTATTATAACGTTTTAACTTAATGGTAAGACTACTAGAATAAATAAGATAATCAAACTGATAAATTACTAACGAGAACCAAGTTGTACAGCAATCAAATAGATTGAAGAAAACAATTAATAACCAACTAACTGAGCTTGTAAATATAAGAATATAAGAATGGTTTAACTGATGTACTTTATCATCCTAAAATTGGTTATGAGTAGAGATTAGAATAACCACCGCGGATACGATAAGGATGTATTTCCAACCCGGTTCTGAGATACCCAGTAGGATGAAAGATCAGTACTCATTGAGTATACAGCACCGATTTATTCCGTAGAATATTGAATTACAATACTTACTTACTTACTTACGCCTGTTACTCCCAATGGAGCATAGGCCGCTGACCAGCATTCTCCAACCCACTCTGTCCTGGGCCTTCTATTCTAGTTCCATCCAATTCTTGTTCATTTTTCTCATGTCTACTTCCATTTCTCGGCGTAATGTGTTCTTTGGTCTTCATCTTTTCCTTTGGCCTTCAGAGCTCCATGTGAGGGCTTGTCTTGTGACGCAGTTGGGTGCTTTCCTCAATGTGTGTCCTATCCACTTCCAGCGCTTCTTCCTGATTTCTTCCTCCGCTGGGATCTGGTTTGCTCTCTCCCACAGTACGTTGTTGCTAATAGTGTCCGGCCAATGGATCCGAAGTATTTTGCGTAGACAATTGTTGATAAACACCTGTATTTTCTGGATGATGGCTTTCGTAGTTCTCCAGGTTTCTGCCCCATACAGTAGAACTGTCTTGACATTTGTATTGAAAATCCTGACCTTGGTGTTGGTTGACAGTTGCTTTGAGTTCCAGATGTTCCTCAGTTGTAAATATGCTGCTCTTGCTTTGCCGATCCGCGCCTTCACATCTGCATCAGATCCACCCTGTTTATCAATGATGCTGCCCAAATACGTAAAGGTTTTTACATCTTCCAAATCTTCTCCGTCAATTGTGATTGGATTGGTGCATGTTGTGTTGTATCGGAGAATCCTGCTTTTCCCTTTGTGTATATTGAGACCTATTGCTGCTGAGGCTGCTGCTACACTGGTCGTTTTCTCCTGCATCTGTTGTTGCGTTTGGGATAGAAGGGCCAGATCGTCTGCGAAGTCTAGATCATCCAACTGCATCTTAGATGTCCATTGTATCCCGCGCCTCCCTTCAGATGTTGACGTCTTCATGATCCAGTCGATCACCAGGAGAAAGAGAAAGGGTGAGAGTAAGCAACCTTGCCTGACACCGGTCTTCACTTTGAACGATTTTGTCAACTGTCCTCCATGCACGATTTTGCAGTTTAATCCATCATATGAATTATGTATGATATTGACTATCTTCTGAGGCACGCCGTAGTGTCGAAGAAGTTTCCATAGTGTTGTTCTGTCCACGCTATCAAATGCCTTTTCGTAGTCAATGAAGTTGATGTAGAGTGATGAATTCCATTCAATTGATTGTTCCACAATGATTCGTAGAGTTGCGATTTGGTCTGTACACGATCTATCCTTACGGAATCCTGCCTGTTGGTCACGAAGTTGGGCGTCTACGCAGTCCTTCATTCTGTTTAACAATACCCTGTTGAAGACGTTTCCCGGTATTGAGAGAAGAGTGATGCCCCTGTAGTTATCACACTTGCTGAGATCGCTTTTCTTCGGTATTTTGATCAGAAGTCCTTCTTTCCAGTCTGTTGGTACTTGTTCGTCATCCCAAATCTTATTGAAGAGAATGTGGAGTATCCTTGCAGTTGCCGCTACGTCTGCTTTTAGTGCCTCTGCTGGGATGTTGTCCAGTCCTGCTGCTTTGCCACTCTTGATTTGTCTGGTGGCCATGCTGATTTCTTCAATTGTTGGTGGGCCAACATCGATTGGGAGGTCCGTGGGTGCTGCTTCGATGTTGGGTGGGTTCAGTGGAGCTGGTCGATTCAAGAGTTCTTTGAAGTGTTCTACCCACCTGTTTTGTTGCTCTTCAATGTTGGTGATTACCTTGCCTTCCTTGCTTTTCACTGGTCGTTCTGGTTTGCGGCGATTTCCAGAGAGTTTCTTTGTCGTGTCATACAATTGTCTCATGTTTCCTTCTCTTGCAGCCTTTTCCGCCGTCGTTGCTAAATCTTTCACATATTTACGTTTGTCGGTTCGGATGCTCCGCTTCACTTGTTTGTTTACTTCTGTGTATTCAGCTTGTGCCTTGGCTTTTTCTGCTCTTGTTCGACTGGTATTGATTGCAGTTTTCTTGTTCCTCCTTTCTTGAATCTTATCCAGTGTATCAACAGTGATCCATTCCTTGTGATGGTGCTTCTTGTGACCCAGGACCTCATGACATGTTGAAGTGATTGCCTCTTTGATCCCCTTCCAGTTGCTCTCCACAGTAGTTCCCTCTCAATTGAGTAGATCATGAAAGGCCTGAAACTTGTTGCTGAGGACTATCTTGAATTTGTTGAGTTTGTTAGTATCCTGAAGAAAGGTCGTATTGAACTTTTGTGATATTGTCCGCCCCGTTGTCCAGTGCTTCTTGAGTTTCAATCTCATCTTGGCGACCAGCAAGTGAAGATCTGATGCTAATCGAATTACAATAGCCAGTGCTTATTTAAACCCTACCAAATATATTCTTGAAATTATTACTACTATTAATTTTTTGATTCCAATGTGGTCGCTTACTTTCATTTTCTAATATAAACCAGCTTTTATGAGAGATCTCAAACTCTTGCAAAACCTTTAACATATCATTTATATAAGAAAAAAACAAACATTTGATTGGTGTGAGTTTGAAGAAGAATTCAACGTATCTATCAGATCGTTAGAACAAAAATTAACGACATATCCATGTACAAATATCAGTGAAATTCTATATTGAACTTTTTGAATTCATTAGCACAAACAGAATCAAGATTGTCACTTTTATTACTCATTGACAACTTATACTTTTTATACAAAATTCAATAAACAACATGTTACAAAATTTATTTGTTATAAAATATTTTGTTTTAATGATTGAACTTTGGATATAAATATTAGTTGGAATTTGTTTTTAACACTAATTATCATTCATAGACTAGTTAATTCAAACACACATATAGAATTCATTTGATCTTGATAAAATATGATAGTTCTACAAGGACAAAACTACAATATATGGATATAAATGTACTCAAATTAACATTTCATCGTGATCATAGTAATCTTTCACAAAAATGGAAACTTAAACAATAGATCTTAATCATTTGAAAAAAATGAAAGGAAATCGACAGGGAGTAGATGGCAATGTCTTTAAATGAATTTCACAAATCATGACAAAAGAAAATGTTGAATTCGACTAGTCAGTCAGTCAGTAAAACTGGGCGCATATATGCATCAGTTCAAGTTACTATACCATATCAGTGATAGTAGAAAAAACTGTATATAAACAATAGGATTCAATAATAAGTCATGACTTCATCGAGTAAGAAGTATGAGATTTAAGTTATGACAAAAAGTGAATGGATCTACTCCCGTAATAAAAAGCTTCTGAGCCATGTAACTCAACGTCTTTACCCATTGCTTACCATACTTTCGCGTACCCTAGCCCGTTAGTTTGAATCCAATGATACAACTCAATCTAACAGTTTATGATTTCATGAACTGATATCATGTCTTATTTGGCCGGATGTTTAATTACTCTGGTTTTCATTAGTTCTTTATAAGTATTGTCAATTTGTTATGAAAATAATTAAATGAGACTATTAAAACGGCCAAACTCCATCATGAGGCAAGCCGTAACTTGGAATCCTGAAGGAAAGTGGAAAAGTGGAAGGTCAAAGAACATATTATATCGGGAAATAGATGCAAATATGAAAAGGATGAATAACAACTGGAAAGGATTGCCCAGGACATGGTTGGAAGGAGAATGCTGGTGAGCGGCCTATGTTCCTCCATGAGGAGTAACAGGCGTAAGTAAGTAAGTAATTAAAACGACGTAAAAAAAATCCGAGTTATATGTATATATCTATGATTAATATCTATAGATTCGAATTGACACAGCTTCAAATCAATGAAAATGAAGAGAAAACAACAAAGTGAAGTTAGTACATGTTGTAAAAGACAAAAGTACTGAAAAATTGAAAAAAAATATTTATGAGAAATAAAAAGTTGGAAAATTAGTTTGATGATATAAATGGAAAAAAATCAAGAGAAAAGTAAGAAAATGACAATTCTTAAAGGTAAATCTGAAAAAGTACTGAGAGTTGACCTTAAATGAGAATTGAACAAGGAAAATAAAAGGTCTTTTTAAGAATTTTTTTCACAAAAGATAAAATTAGTACACATATAATTGAGGTGGGCGGGGGGGGGAGAAGGAGGAATGTAGGTAAATTTGGGGAAAAAAAAGTCAAACTAAGGTGTGGTCATATCTTTTTTTTTAGAAAAAAAAAACCTATTTCCAGTGTTAATTTCATGGCTTGAATTACTGGTACTAAGAAAAAAAAAACTTTTTGAGAAAACAATTTTAACTAATGGACAAAAATTATGTGAAATGAAAACTGATTCGAAAAACAACAAACAATTAACTAGAATTTATGAATAGAATTATCTTTGGGATCGGTATGTTTAGTTTGAGGTAGATTGTTTACTCTTCATACAGTTTTATCAATAAAACTTAATAAGTATCCATTGTTATTTTCAATGAAATTGTAAA